ACGAATAAATTTTTATTTCTTTAGGAACGGAAATAATGAATTTTATAACGTTTAAATAATGGTTTTAGAGGGTGTTATATGCTCTTTACTGCTAGATATGAAATAATTTGTCATACAAGTAGCAAAATGTAAACAAAATAGTAATTTGATTTCCACACAAAATACAAAGTCACTGTACTTATTGTCACAAAGTAAAAGGTAAACCTATATGGATAACCGAGGCAAATACTGATTATAGAGATAAATTTGACCCGGATGTTGTTTCTAACTTGTTAGATGTACTTAAGGATGTTTTTGGTAATCAACAGTATACAGATGACTCTGTTAATCAGTTAACTGAGAAGGTAACATCTATTTTAACAGATGCTGCTAAAGATTGTAATTTGTTTAAGAAAAGGCATGTTATTAGTAAACCTAGAAAGCCATCAAATACTTGGTTTGATAGTGAGTGCATAGATGCTCGGTCTGATTATCACAAGTGTAAAAATATTTTTCGTAAAAACCCTTCCAAAAGAAATAGAGAAATATTAGTTAATACTAGCAGAAAATATAAGAAAGAACTTAATAAAAAGTTAAGGAATTTTCAGAGGGCAATTGTTGACAAAATTAAAGGGCTGAAAAACAAAGACCCAAAGGCGTATTGGAGCATGTTAAACAAATTACAGTAACAATAAAAAAGAAATTGTTAATAATATTGCCACTGAAGCGTTCCATGAACATTTTAGTAAGTTGAATGAAAATATAGCGAATGACGCACCAGATGATTTCAATGTTTCAAATGTATCTGCGAATAATATAGATTTAGACAAACCTTTTACAGTAGAGGAAATTAGAAGATCCATTCGTTTACTTTAAAAACAACAAAGCTTCATCTTCATTTGATGATGTGTTAAACGAGTATTTGAAATATGCACCAGATAATATGTATGAAATTTTTGCTATTTGTTTAACATCATTTTAGACTCGGGAATATTTCCTGAAGTATGGAGTAAGGGTATTATTTTGCCAATATATAAGAATAAAGGTGATGTTTCTGATCCAGACAATTATCGTGGTATTACAATTTTGAGCTGTTTTGGTAAACTTTTTACGAATGTTCTTAATACTAGATTCAATAATTTTTTAGAGAATAATAATATATTGTGTGAAGAGCAAGCTGGATTCAGAAAGAATTATAGTACAACAGATCACATCTTTTCCTTAAAAATGTTAATTGATCTGTATTTGTCTAAAGGTAAAAAACTGTATTGTTCATTTATTGACTACAGGAAAGCCTTTGATAGCATTAATAGAACTGCACTCTGGCAAAAATTGTTAAGTTATAATGTTGATGGTAAATGTATAAAAATAATATATGATATGTATAAAAAAGCTAAATCTTGTGTTCAGGTGAACTCCTTTAGTAAAAATGTCAGATTTTTTCACAAGTCATACAGGTGTTAGGCAAGGTGAAAATCTTTCGCCTGTTCTATTTTCTTTGTTTTTGAATGATTTAAACCAGTTTTTGTCACAACATTATAATGGTCTAGTTTCATTATCTTCAGTAGTAAATGATACTCTGAGTAACTTCGATGTTGAGGTTTATTTTAAATTGTACATACTACTTTATGCTGATGACACTGTAATTTTTGCTGAAACTGCAGATGAATTGCAAAAGGCACTTGATGCAATGAGTAGTTACTGTAATATGTGGAGTCTCCAAGTTAATCCTGCAAAAACTAAATTGTTGTATTTTGTAAAAATGTACGTGGTATTCGTAATGCTCCTAATTTCATTTTTGAAGGTAATATGTTAGAAGTAGTCGACTCTTTTTCATATCTTGGCGTAAAGTTTTCGTATAATGGTAAATTTACTAAAACAAAAGAATACTTGTTACAACAAGCTAGAAAAGCAATGTTCTCTGTAATAGTAAAGTCTAGAAGGCTGAACCTGCCTATTAGTATGCAAATACATTTGTTTGATACAATGGTAGCACCCATTTTGTTATATGGAAGTGAAGTGTGGGGAATTGAAAATTTAGACTTGATAGATCAATTTCAGTTAAAATTCTATAAACTTATTCTTCGGTTAAAACAAAGCACTCCTAATTGTATGCTATATGGTGAACTAGGGGTGCTACCTTTGTCTATTCATGTTAAGGCTCATATTTTATGTTACTGGAATAGAATTTTAAATGCTAAACCTGAGAAAATATGTCATATATTGTATAATGTTTCTTATAAGTTGTATAGTGATGATAACAATGTAAAACTACCTTGGATCAATTATGTACACAATTTATTGGACTCTCTGGGCATGTCAAATTACTGGATGTATAATATACCTTCTTCACAGCAATTGTTCAAGAACATTGTTAAAACTAGATTGAGAGATCAATATTTACAACAATGGCATAGTTTTGTGGCTGAGTCCAGTAAAAGCCTTAATTACAGAATGTACAAAGATTCCTTTGTTTTTGAAAATTATCTAGATACTTTGCCTTACCATTTGTCTAATGCTATTTTAAAGTTCAGATGTACGAACCATAGATTACCTATAGAAAAGGGGAGATTCTTTGGTATCCCGAGAGATGAAAGAACATGTCATTTATGTAATACAAACTCTTTAGGGGATGAATTTCATTACCTGTTTGTGTGTGACTTTTTTAAGCAGGAGCGTCGTAAATATATTTCAGTAAGATATACTAGTAATCCTAAATACTTTGAAAATATTCATTGCTAATGAATAGTACAGACAAAAACGAGCTTGTTAAACTTGCTGTTTATTGCAGGAAAGTAATGCATGTTTTCAAATGATAAACGAGGTTGTGTAATATATGTATACATTTTGATAGTAAATAGTATTGTGTAGTATAATATTATGTTTCTTAAGGCTAACATGTATTTTTATCACCTATGTGTTAGGAATGGCTCAGTGTCTGATATTGCTCAAATTTTGTCTGATATTGCTCAAATTTAGTCTGATATGATAATTTTCTGTTTATCTAGTCATAGCAAATTTGTATCAGGTCATTTGTTCATGTTATATAGCAAATTTTCCTATGTGTTAGAAATGGCTCAGTGTCTGATATTGCTCAAATTTTGTCTGATATTTCTCAAATTTAGTCTGATATGATAATTTTCTGTTTATCTAGTCATAGCAAATTTGTATCATGTCATTTGTTCATGTTATATAGCAAATTTGTATTACGTCATTTGTTCATGTTTAATATGTTGTATTCTGATGCCTCTCAGAGGCCTAGAATTTGAAAATAAAAGTTCAAAGTTCAAATGTTCACTTTTACCAACAGTATTCTTGTAAATTCAGTGTTTTTCCAAGAATACTGTTGGTCAATGAATTTAATTGCTGTGATACCTACGCAGATATATGTCTACAACTGATGGCTGACATGTCCTTGAGAACTATAGACGCTTGGGGTCAGATCCCGAACCCCAACGTGATACGTGACCCTGTAAACACTCTATTAAAAATATTTTAATATTTAAACAAGAATTGGACATCGTTAAAACTGGTTTTCAAACAATTTTTAATATACCAGTATGAAAAAATACCATATACCACCAAGTCTCAATAAAGTACTTAATGGTTTTATCGTTGTAACGGATGTCAAATTCGTATTAAAATAAATAATAGAATAGTTTTGATATAGTCTTTACAGAGGCGTATCACGTTGGGGACAGGATCTGACCCCCAGCGTCTGTGCTTGAGAATGCCTTATAATGTGTTGCAGCTATAGATCTGTTTGTGCAGCCTAAGTCAGAGATTGATGGCATAATAAACACTTGATATAGTCACATATAAGTGAAAATTATTGGGTAAAGATTGAAAATAAAAGAACTTGAAAACAAAACTATTTCTTATTTTATGGCATATAAAATGTCGTTATTCTCAGCAGATTTGTCATGTAGGGCCTCATTTTAGTGGTACGAACACATAGTATGACGAATGATCCAATTGGTGCATGCCAAATATGGGTGTTTATCTTTGCATTTAAGCAAAAGGCTTCGTTTTTAGCTCTGTAAAATTTGGTCACACTTTTCTGTTTCTTCATGTTAAACATTTTACATGCCATCAGGTGACCATGACCATGATCATGACCTAGGGTATAATGGACAAAGCCTCTTTGAATATTGTGTATGCGTGATGCCTATTTAATGCTTATGTGAAGTTACAGTTAGATGTAAGCAATAGTAACAGAGATATGACAAAAAAAACAAAGGCTTTGTAGTACAATACTTTGGTGACCTTGGCATTCAGTATATAAGGGGCACAGCTTCTTCATGTACTTTGTATGCATGCTTGTAACGCAAAGTTTATGCAAAGTTGCAGTAAGATGCATGAATCAGCAAATGTAACAGAGATATGACAGAAAAAACAAGTTACCAAGAAAACCAATGCCTTGGTGGATAGAATAGCATCCCTAGTGCTAAAACTGAAACTCAAGATAATTAAAAAGAACAACTACTTTTTGATACTGAATTTATTTCTTTTTTCGAAATTGAATAAAAAGTATCCATCTGCCTTTCTACCTATATTCTAGGTAATGATGGATTGCTCATAATTGTCCCAAGTATAATTCACAAAACTTTATAAACATAATAACATGATATAGGTTCATGAGCTTGAAATAAAGTCTACAAAGACTTGTTATTTCATATCAAACAAGAACGTACTCCGCGAGTCGGACGTATCGCCTGACAATAGCATACAAATTTATGTATATAAGCAAATAAGCAATTAGCAAATAAGCAAATTGGCAAATCAGCAATTAGCAAATTGGCAAATCAGCAATTAGCAAATAAGCAATTCAGAAGTTGGCAAATAAGCAAAGTGGCATGTCCCTACCGGCATTCCATACTATTCATGATTACATTAAGTTGATAACAAGAACAGCGACACAAAAAAGTAAAGAGGACATCATTCGGAACACCTCGCCTGATAAATCGTAAATTTGACGGAAAAGGCCGAATAGTTGCGATAGTGCGTATTGCGCCACGTGATGAGTCGTTTTTTCAAAGGTTAAAAGCGGGGACGTTGCATTGTAACTCTTTTGAATTTTGAAATTTGAATAAGAAATTAATATATTACACGTTTTCCTAAAAATAATTTTTGCAAATGGATTAATTTTGCGGTGAGATATTTCTTTATATCCATCATTGGTATATACATGTATGTCTTTCAGGTCATAATGTGATTCAATAATATGGATAATTAATTAACAAACTTTTAAAAAGTAGATTGGGTAGATACGTAGATTTCTCAGGATAGAAATAACGCTTCACAATAATGTTAACTGTTCAAATTTCTCTGTTCAAAAATCTGAGCTTAAATTGTACTGTACGTGAATCCCGACTGAATATAAAATCGTTAAAAACATCTATACAAAAGTTTGACTTGAATACTGACTAACACTTGGGTCTTTTGAACTGTGAATATAAGTCGCACATGTTCTTGAAAGTTTAAGAAATGAAATGTGCTATTAATAGAATAGACAAGTATAGAATGTTTTCATACACAGAAAGAACACTCTTCAACAGAAATCAAGTGAAATTTTCATTTCATGAATTTTTGTAAAAGAATGCTTAGTAAATGATACCAAACATTATTTTTATAAGTTTAATTTATTGCTTGTTATTTGTACGGACATTCTTTTCTCTTTTACAGCTTGAAGTTTATTTATATCACATTGAAAACAAGATAGATAAATATCTATTTATCTCAGGATTAAGACAACCTCTCATCCAGCTTGTTTTACTGTTTAATGTGATTTGCATTCCGCAATATGAACGAGGACTTGTCAAGCGTTATTGAGCAGGCGTTACTTTTTGCTCTTCCACTTCCGGTTCCGGAATGCGCAGAAACATGTAATTTAGATTCCGTAAAAGGGGCACCTGGGACAGTGTCATTTAATAATAATAATAATAATGTGACTTGTAGACACTCTCCATTGCCAGGCTCTTACAATAATCAGAAAACTGGCATAGCTTACACCGAAGTTGAGAATAATGATAGTGCTACTTGTTTAGCAATGGAGACCATTGACGGTTTATATTCCGTCCCATATATCAATACGGATCCTTTTGCTGAGGATAAAGACCGTTACACGAAGAAGCGCAGAGAGACGCTGTTTGATTTTGGGTCTTTTGATTTAGATAATGAGGAAGTAAAAAGAAACTGTGCCAGTTTTTGTGATGTTCCTTATGAAGTACCTAGTGACATAGCGGAGACTGGAGAATCACAAAAAGAACTTGTTCAGAAATGCGTTCCATCTATGTTAACGACTCCAGAACAGACAGTTTGTAGTCTAGTTCTTCCTGACAGTTCAAAGAGCTTAAACGAGGCTGAAAATCCTGGCAGCGTGGCAATAAAAGTTAAAAAGAAACGAAAGAGAGAAAAGAACCCTGGACCGTATCCAGATCCTATACTTCCACCGTGTGTTATCTGTAACGAAAAAGCTTCTGGATTTCACTACGGGGCAAACACGTGCGAGGCTTGCAAAGTAAGCTTATGACACATTATTTCATAGTCTTGATAAATTTTACCCGGCTGGAACCGATACTGATTGACCTTTGCCATCAGTATATTTTAATGGTTATAAAGATTTCTGACAGGTTATTGACCGTATATAAACGTTTTTTTTGGAAATATAACCGAAGCCTCGGACGAGTCGATGCCAAAATATTGCCAACAACCGTTTATATACGGTCATATAACGTAAGGAATATTCATAACGAATTTACAATACAGAAATTAAATTTCCTTTTTTGAGGAGAAAATTGAGATTTCTTCATAATATATTAACAGCAGCCGTGTTTATAAAACTAGATAAACTTCACGATTATCCAATGAAACTTGACGTGCACTATTATATGCATATTTCTACAGTTTGATCTGCATCTATACTGTTAGTTGACTAAAATTCTTCGGACATTTTAACTGTTAAAAGTGTTCAATGTTGCACACTTTGTGTAAATGTATCTTGGCAAAGAAATCTGACCTATATGCTCTCGGCAGCTTTTTTGATAATGTAAAGAACTGGTTTTTCCCTCGGAAAACGGATTTTTTGTACATGTTGTAATGAAAATGATTCTTCACAACTATTGTTCAGTGTTTTGCCCTTTGCAGAGCTCGCAGCCGCCAAGTATCAATAGCGTTGCGTACTGTAAAAAGGTCTAAGAATATATGATTATGATATGTCGTGTACTTTGTCTAAGCCATAATATATGGTGACTGATTTGTGTCATGTTTTATAGAGGAAACTGTCGTATTATCGTGTTTTCTCCTTTTCGCCCCTCGGAGCGAAAGCACGACAAAATGTTAAATTTGTTTTCATCCGGCGCCCCGCGGAGCGAAAATACGACATGGAACAAAATGGCCACCATAATACATGTAATATGATAACTCCATTCGAAAATAATAAAAATGAAAACCTGTTTTAAATGTGTTTACAGGGCTTCTTCAGAAGGACACTTAAAAAGGAAGAATCGAGGTTAAAATGTAAATGCAAACCGGATATGCGAGAAGAATGGAAACGAGGCCCAGTTAAAAATGGCTGCTCATCATGTAGATTCAGAAGATGCTTGAAGCAAGGCATGTCAAGGAACGGTTGGTATTTCTGCATTGGATCATAGCTAGGGGGAGGGGGGGGGGGCTTTCTGTTGAGATTGTGTCAGAGTTAAATTGTATACATGCACAGTGCGTTAACTAGAGTGCAGGTATTAGTTACCCGCACTCCAGAGCATGCCCATTGATTGGCTCTTTTTTGCTGGGGTTTACTTATTGTGGCGGCAGAGAAAGGGAAAGCGACAGAAATTTCATATTCAAATGCTCGTTCATTGGTTACTTTTTCTGGGGTTTCATATTAAAACAACAGGGAACGCGTTTTTATGTTTGACTATGATACAAAAGAGAAAGAATATCAAAACACTAGGCAATCTGATTTATACACGGGGTGTACGCCCCCTCGTACAAATCAGATAATCTCGTGTTTCGATACTCTTTCTATTACTTACACAAAGTCTTGCAGATTTTATTAACTATTTACAATTTTTTCTATTGAAAGGCACATTATGTTTTAGAAATGAATAAATCTTTATAGTTCTTTAGAAATGGGAAACATGAGGTTTGTGACACAGAAATAAGTGTTTTAGAGCAAGTAAGATGGTTGTTATCTGATGAAGAACGTATCACTTTATATAGAAAAATTAGTCCCAAAAGTAGCAAAAGGTAAGCGAAGCAGTAGTTTGGGTTCCATACAAAATACTTAATAACTAAAATTGTACTAATTGCCAAAAAGCGACAGGAGAAAAAGATGGTTCAGGTAATTGGTCAATGAGTAACCGTTTGGAAAATATAAAATATATATGAACACCGGAAGTAAAAAGCTTTTGAGAAATAAAAATAAGAGCATTTCTGGGGCTCTCAAGTAGCATGTAATTTGTTAACTGCATGTAATAAATTATGCATTTTCAGCTATAAAAATTGGTAGATACACAATTAAACACAAAACTGAAAACATAAACCAAGTTAAATCTGCTGAAGCTGTTGATAAGATGATCGATGTAGCCATTGCGAATGTACCTGAAAATAGTCCGTCATCCACTTTCGATTTATGTGAGCATGCGTCAGTGAACAGTCCATCATCCACTTCCGGTTTAGGTAAGTACTAAACGACTTTTTTCCTCTAAATTCCATTTATTTAATTCTATATTATTGACTGCTTACACTTATTGACATGATTATTATTTTGAAGGAACTTTTTACAGGGTAAATCGTCATATGCTTGTGAAAATTTGATTACTTCCTTGTAATAAGCGTCTGCATGATCAGGACTGTACTGCACGTGCTGCAACTTTATATTCCATATATGGACAAAATACAGTAAGCATAATTGTGCAAGATTGATTGTCTGAATGAAAAAGAAAATGTTAGAAAACAAGTTATTTTAGGGAATATGACGAATTGTTGCACACATCCTTTATCCATTCCAAACCTTTTATATTTATAGCAGACTTTAACATTGGGTCACTTGACGACTTCGAAAATTCAAATATGGTGGAGAAATATGTTGTATCATCCAGTTCTCAAACAGATTTTTGCGATTTGTCACCAGAAACGAAAAAGGCAAAAACATGCAAAAACGAGCTCATGTCATCAGAGGTGAGTTTAATGAACAGATCTACAATTCAGTGGTTATTCCGTTTCCATCTATATTTATCTGTCTTCTGCTTTCATCCGTCTTCTGTTTTCGTTTGTCTGTGTTTCCGTCTGTTTAAATTTATATTTTCTGCTTTCATCTGTCGCCTGTTTTCATCTCTGTTTTTGTTTGTTTTTACCTGTTATCTGTTTTCATCTGTCTTCTGTTTTGGCTATCTTTTAATTTTGCATGAAATGTCATTTCGTATTTACACATTAGAATTCTCCTTTCAATAATGACCGTTATTATGTATAGTGAGAATAAATCGGAATATATGTAAACATTCCGCAGCTTACTTTTATTATCCTAAAATTCTTACTTCAGTCCAAGACAAACTAGTCACCAATAATAGTTAAATATGGAAATATTCTAAATTATTAAACTCTACCCACAAGCAATCGATGTGCTTTTTTCTCGCTCGTCGTTATGTACACACTTAATTGGTGACGGAAAATGACGCAGAATGCCGAATATTGAGGAGGTTTGCCTTAAATTTAGTACTTTAATTCCTTTTCATATACAGGAAATGGATTCAATTGTGGACAGGTTGACAGATGCACACACAAAAGCAGATTTGTTTGAAACTCGTAACGTTCCTATTGATGTCATACGGCAAAAGCAAACAGACTATCTGGTAAAGTCTATATACATATCATTAACCAAATAACGCTCAGCTTTAAGATCTGACCGTGACAAAATATGAAATCATTTCTGGTGACATTTCACATAGCCAATCATCGGCGTGCTTTCATAATTTTGAAAGCGATGTGGTTTCTAATTTTAACCCTTGGAAAATTCAATACTTCGCGATTTCTAGAACAAACCTTTTGAATAATAATAAAAAAACAGTAACATTTTAAAGCTATAATGGGCCTTTAAATGTGTTTGTAGGAAAACTACAACATGCGGAAACAGATGTTTGGCGACATGACTTTATCAGCTGAGGAATTCAATGAGTTCTACAATATCACTGGTATAGATCTTGACGGGAGAATCGAACATATGACTGGGGTTTTCGATTACCTCGAACGGAAAATTTCAAAACTTGTTGATTTTGCCAAGGCCATACCAGGATTTAAACGCCTGAGTCTAAATGATCAGGCTAATTTAATAAAAGGTGATTATTGATAAGTACTTTCTGTAAATATTTTGTTCTCACATTTTTTTTTATAATTAGGAGCCTTATCCTTACAGAAACTTGCCTTCGCCCTGTGTTCACAAAGATTTAGGTATCAGGGTCAAAATAAGGATCAAATTTTAATACTCAAATATTTTTCATTGTGTATCCTCGTTGAATAAATATTTAATATCAACTTGATAAAATTGGGTCTTAAATAGCATGTTTATGACATTTTAAAATAAATTTATCGTTATTTAACAAGATTTAGTCATTTTAATTACAGTTGATCCAAATATTGATCCTGATTCTAAAATTGATATTTTTGTTTTGTTATTTGTCATCCAGAAATATGTTGATTTTATGCAAATAAGCATTTTTTAAAATTTTGTTTATGTACCATTTAAGGAAAATATGATCAATTTTAGATTTATAAAACAATGAAAATAAAACCAGGGTAATTTCATCCTGGTCCTTATCGATATCTTTTGTTAGTGAACACGGATCAGGTGACCTGTTCATATGGCTTGAATGTTTGTTAAACAATGTTTTGTAAATAGTTCTCTATTACCCCTTTATCTCAAAACATACCGTTCATCAACACATGAATTTTTAATAACTTTAATAATTACTAAAAATAGCAAAAATCGTGTTGGACTCCTAGGGATAAAATGTGGGAAGTAGCCAAATGAAAGTAAAATAGAATTTATTGATGAGACAAAAAGCAATTTTAATATGTGGATCCACATCTAGAAAAAAATTGATTCGTGTGTTGTCATTGAAATACATGTAGTGTTGTTTGCAATATTCATTCGATAACTTAAATTCCTTGATTAATTTCATTGAAGATTGTTGTGGATCACTTTCATTATAATTTCAGAATTAGTTCAGTCAGCCGGAATTTCCTCCTTCTTCTTCGAAATGATAAGTTATTGACGCAATATCCTCCTTCTTTGAAATGATAAGTTATTGCCGCAATATCCTCTTTATTTGAAATGATAAGTTATTGTCGCAATTTACTACTCCTTCTTTTTAATGATAAGTTATTGTCGCAATTGCCTCCCGTCTTTGAAATGAAAAGTAATTGTCGCAATTTCCTGCTTCTTCTTTGAAATGATAAGTTTAATAAAACCGTAAATTTGACCCATTTTTGAAACTAGCAGATAATATTAAATTGACATTTTATTTTTAAAAGACCACACACTCGGCTAATATAAAAAAAATATTCAAAGGTCGGACAAACAAAATGTAAAGCCGGTACGGATTCAAATTTATGCCCCGCGATATGCGGTCCTATCCCTTTTGTAATTGACTTTTTGTCATATGTACTTCCTTTTCGACAACTGTATTTCTTTATCTATGTTTAGCTTCTCGAGTAGAGAGTTCCCTATTTGGGGGGTACAAGGAACGCTCCAGGCAAATGGATTTAGACAGGCGGATCTTGACCACGCCCTGGGGCAAGGAAATTCATTTAGATGTGCTTGCAAAAATTCACCCCATAGACCCCATTATTTCCAGACATAAACAGTGTCAGTTACTGGTGGATTTGAAACTAACAGAGAAAGAAGATGCAATCATACGGGCGATAGTGATTATGTTTACAGGTGAGTTTTTCGGTCGAAGGTCGTCTAAAATCAGCTTGACTTCCTGTAAAATTCACAGGGAAGAACTGAATATGAGAATAATTTTCATTGGTCATTTTAAAATTACATATTGAAATCTGCATGGGAATCGTATTAGCTATTCTAAATAAAATGTAAAGAATAGTTCTTGTCATTCTAAAATGAAATTGCAAGGATAGTTGTTAAAATTTAAAGGATAGTTCTTGCCATTATGAAATAAAATGTAAAGGATAGTTGTGAAACTTTTGCGCAATTAAAGTTGTTGTTTAGATAATTATAACATATGCATGGTAACCGGTTTTACTTCGGCCAAGTATCTTTTAAAGATTTTAAAGACTACTAAAAATCTAATTAGTCTGCAAATATGACATCTGCTAGTTGACATACAAGAACATTGGCAATTTTGACATAAATTTTTCGTTTCAAGACAGTGAAGACTTAATTTCTTTTTATTTCTAAAACAATAACCAATAAAATAGACAGTGAAGATTTAATTTCTTTTTATTTCTAAGACAATAACCAATAAAACAAGCATTTAGTTGTTTAGTTTTCACTTCGCTAAGCTATTTACTGCTTGAATTAGTGGGAAAAAAACTAATGGAGAACACTATTTTGCCGACCTTAAATTGGAAATTAGTGAAGAAAAATTTGAATATTCAACATGCTTACAGATGGCCTCTTTTTTATTTATTGCCGTTTCAGAAATAAATTTATCCAACGAGCAGCTTGCTTCTAGTTATGATAAGCCCTGTTTCCTAATTAAATTATACAAGCTCTGCCTTTCTGATGAGTGTACTCTTAGTTAGTTCTTATAAGGCACTTACATAGTACTATTAGTAAACATTACTCTTTGGATGAGGGTCCCTTGCGATATCAACCAATTTTAGGTGTCTGGTTCTGTTAACCCTTAACCTGCTGGAACCAAACGTGATCAGCCTTTGCCACCAGTATAGAGCCAGACCAGTCTGTACATCTGTGCAGTATGACCAGGCTCTATACTGTTGGCAGCTCAATTATTGTATTTTGATATTGAAATCCCTTGAACTTGGAATGGAATGTTCCATATTCAAAGCTGAACAGATCCATTATAGAGATATAGCAGGTTATGGGTTAAAATCACTACACGTGTAGAAGTAACAAGAAAACACATTGCATGCTATTGAAGGGCTTTTATTTAGCAAAAAAAAAACATATTAAGAAGAGATATATATTTTTCTAATGTTTACATATACCTTCAGATATCAATAAGCTCATGAGAGAAAACTGAAGTAAAACTATCATTTTGTGTTATATCTTTGAAACCACATCGTAACTATACATATGCGTTGTTTTAATTTATTTTAGACCGATGCCCCCTGGAGGAGCCTCACAAAGTTGAACAGATACAAGAAAAACTTATCGCATGTCTAAAATACATTCTCAATACGCGGTCTTGCGGTGGTTCTGTACCTCTATTTTATAAAATATTTAGCTTTCTTACTAATCTTCGTAATTTTTCTGAACACGATAGCAAATTCAGAGGAACACTTATCCGTGACTATCCAATGCTGTCCACGGATAGATATCACTTACTTAAAGAGTTCATGTCATGAACCTGTTTATATGTTAGTAATAATTATTCTTGTGAAACAAGTTAATAACCATCAAGTTTTATTTCTGTTTGTATAAAATTTTGATGAAAAACTTGTATATTATCAAAAAATCACACATTCTTGTTTTCATTTTTGTCATTGATAGATTGTTCGGTATGATAAAAAATACCTCTCGTTCATTATTTCATGTACTTGTATATGATGTTTAATTTGAATTAAAGTTAACAAAAACCACACATTTTTGTTTTCATTTTTGCCATTGGTACATTTTTCGGTAAAATAAGAAATATCCTTTCCCTAGCTAGAACATGATAAAGACGTTTTTTTTCTGTTTTGTTTGCCATTAATTTCACTTTGTGTTTCTTGTATTGCATGAGAGAAGTTAAAAAAAAATCGCATATTCTTATCATTATTGTCATAAACCGGAATTGGTGAAGTTACAATATCTTTTTCTAAATAACTGTTCTAAATAACTGTCATTTCATCTATTATTTTGTATTTTAACTGTCATTTAACTTTTTATTTATGAAAATCATATTTTCTATATATACCAATATTTAATCCATAAAATCAACCGAATCACAAACTTATATATTTTAGACCTCCTTGTGGTTTTTATTTGTTCGGGTCGTCAGACCAAACAAATAATGGTAGCGAAATTTCAGACTCTGATGCTGTTAATTCCAAATGCCGAAAGTAGTGCGCTTTTTTTAAGCGGTTACTTCCCTTTATATGTACACTAACGCCGATAAAATCAGGGGAGATCACTGGGTTAAGATGGTCAAATGACAGGCGCATTAATTTTCAAGCAAAATAGTTCCCAAATGGTCGAAGGTTTCTAATATTGTTTTATTCTTTATAGATATACATGCTTATAGTAAGCTCCATGATTATTTACATCTGTGTTAAACAACAGGTTTAGCGTCGAAATAATAAGGGTTACAAACCCTAATTTAGAATAATATGGTTTTCTTAAGGCCGTAAGCATATAACTTCACCGTGGCCGAGGGGTTTGCGCGCTCGCTTAGGAAGCGAGAGGTCTGCAGTTCAAATTCTAGTTAAGGCAACTTTTTTTCAAATTGTTAAGTCAAATAAACATTGAATTGAATATCATTATTGCAATTAGTCTTATAGCCAATTTACTACAATTAAAACGCTGGAAAGCATTGGTGGCACTATACAAAAACAAATTGGTTTATAATCTCACAACCTTCAACTTTCTGACATTCTGAGACCCAAACAAATTCAGAGCCTTCTGTGCTTTGATTACAAAATAAAACTTATGTGTTTTCCTATTCAAAAATATATGAACTAAGTGATCCCCGGGCGGGGTCAATATCAACCCAAGGGGCATGATAATAAGCTGTTTGTAGTGGTCCGCAAAGAGATGTTCATGGCAAATATCTAAGCTCTCGGTATTGTAGTTTCACACAATAAGTCTCAGGTGTGTCAGTAGAAGTCTATATAAATCTATTGAGCCCTGAGAAAGGGTCAATATTAAACCAAGAGACATATGGTTCGTATCAGTTTTGTAAAGGTATATAAGGCAATGCACCATGTTAAATATCTAAGTTCTAGACATTGTAGTTTCACAAATGAAACTTAAATGTGTTTTCCTATATAAGTCTATATAAATCAAGTCATCCCGGGACGTGGCCAATTGTGATCTCAGGAAGCCCAAACCAGTGTTCTGCACATCATTTTATTGTGTCGCCTTGAAAAGGTGACATATAGGGGTTACTTTTGTCGGCGGTGTCGGCGGCGGCGGCGTCTGTGTCGGCGTCAATGTCGTTGTCGGTGTCGGCGTCGGCGTCCGCTAAAGCTTGTCCGGAGCATAACTCAGTCACTATAAGTCTGATTGACTTCAAACTTGGTATGCATGCTTCTTTCAATAACCCGAAGTGCAGTGCACAAGGACCGGTACTCTGCAGTTCTTATTTTTTGAGTTATTGCCCTTTGTTAATTTTCATACTTTAATTTTGTCCGGGCCATTTCTCTTCAACTAAAAAAGCTATGGACTTGAAACTTCATAGGATGATAGATCTCATTAAGAAGAATTGCAGTGCACAAAAACCAGTACTCTGCACTTCCTAATTTTTGAGTTATTGCCCTTTGTTAATTTTCATACTTTATTTTTGTCCGGGCCATTTCTCCTTATGTATAAAAGCCATGGACTTGAAACTTCATAGGATGATAGGTCTCATTAAGAAGAAGTGCAGTGCACAAGAACTGGTACTCTGCATTTCTTATTTTTTGAGTTATTGCCCTTTGTTTATTTTCATACTTAATTTTTGTCCAGGCCATTTCTCTGAAAGTATAAAAATTATGGGCTTGAAACTTCATAGGATGATAGATCTCATTAAAAGAAGTGCAGTGTATAAGAACTGATACTCAGCATTTCTTATTTTTGAGTTATTGCCCTTTGTTGCTTTCTTACTTTATTTTTGTCCTGGTCATTTTTCCTCAAGTATGAAAGCTATGGACTTGAAACATCATAGAATGATAGATCTTATTGATAAGAAGTGCAGTGTACAGAAACTGCTGCTCTGCACTTATTATTTTTTTAGTTATTGCCCTTTGTTATTTTTCATATTTCATTTTTGTCCTGGCCATTTCCCCTAAACTACATTGTTCACAAGGCGACACATCCGACTCGCGGAGTTCTAGTTATAAGTACTATTTCTGCCAAATAGTTTTAATTTCTTTTTATCAGTTAAGAAGATATAGAGCGGACACGAAATTTAAAGTTCATACAAATGACTATGTGTAACCTTGGCCAGGGGATGTTCAAATCTGTGCTCTGCACATCGACTCATTATTGTAAACATTTCTGCTAAGAAGTTTCAATTTCCTTCCATCGGTTCAAAAGATACAGATCGGACATGAAATTGCTAACAGACTTACGGACGGACCACTAGATGCATAACAATATACGCCAAAACGTTTTCGTATTATTATGTCTACATTAAAGTAATTAAAGGATAATTGTTGGTATCAACACGTTAGGCTTCATAGTCACCATGGTCATCTTCCAAAACAATGTGGTCGAAACCCACTTGTCGAGGTTTTCTAAATTTAAAAAAAAACAGATACAGGAACGTGATACCTTTTTATTCTTGCAACCAGTATAAGATCAATTAAGGGATTTGAAAGTCCAGTATAATGGGTTGGCTCGTCGAATAAGTTGTTCAAATAAAATCAAGAAAAAATCACTTGATGTATTCAATTCAGTACTGACATGACATTTAGAGAATACATTAATGTATAAAGAAATAGCAAAGTTGGATTGACACAAAGAACATTCCTACATATTACATCTAAACATTTTCGAAAATTACTCAAGACTTTAATAAGAACAAATTTGGAATATTGTAATGGTGCCATCAAGGTTTAAAAAAGCAAAACTGAATCATTAGAAAACCTAAAAAAATTAGTCTACTATGTAAGACATCTACCATATAATGAATTAAAGGTTAACTATTCTAAAAAAAAACAGCTCTTGCGTACAGACGTATTAGAGGGGACATATGATACAAACCTACACATTATTGAATATTCTAACACGACCCGCATTTTTCCCTATTGAACATAGAAGAACCGAAAGTGTGTATTATTATGCTATAAAATCACTGTTTGACGTTCTATATTTAGATATGTGACGTAATCGTTATACACGTGACGTAACCACTAAAAATGTGACGCGCTGAAAATAAATACGGAAACAAATCAGGCGCAGTTTATCTAATTATCATGTACGGCAGCATTTATTTTTTGCTGTCGTGTTAGAATCGAAATAATATATCCAAATCGGTGATTTTATTGCTTGATAACATCACTGTTTGTCGTTCGGATGCGCATCATTATATCACTCGGGCTACGCCCTCGTGATATAATTCCCCGCATCCGAACTCCAAACAGTGATGTTATTGAGCAATAAAATCACAGTTTGGGATATATTATTTCTTAAATAAAGAGGCAATCAAACATGAAAGATTTTTTAAAACTAAAATGATAACATAACTTGTGATTATCCTTTAAAACTAAAAGATCACACGTGTCGCTTGATGATGGCCATGCAAAAGCATGTTGCAGCTATTGCTTAGCAGAAGACACAAAATCATTAACAGGCCAAAACGTGCCATAACTCAGCCGAAAATCATTTTACCAGAAAACCAGTTTAATATGCGTTGAGTAGCCGTTCAATTCTGTAAAGTTTCATTTGATTTGCACAAGTTTACACGAGAAATAGTCCGGACAAAACTTTAAAAAAATAAAAATCGTTTAAACGCCGTAACTCTGACAAAAATCACTGACCCGGAAAATACCGACGATCTGCACAACTAGAATTTGTACTGATCATTCCTGTAAAGTTTGGATGTCATTGCACAAGTTTTTTCAGAGTATTAGTCCGGACAAGATTTATGACAGACAGGCAGAGTCGCAGATAGACGACAAAAAAGTTAGCCATACTAAAGATGAACTATGAGTGGTGTTTGTTATTTCTTGTTATTAAAGGTTATTTCCCTTTTTAAAAGTAAGGTCCGAGAAATAATTTAGCCATATCAGTTGTGGGTATTTTGTATCATGCGTCAGTTTCTGTGTAGTGGCAACACAAAAATCATTATATAATAGGCCAAAACACCTTATTGTGTCGCCTGCGAGTATATGCCGACGATATGCACAACTAGACTCGGATCATTTCTGTACCATTTTGATGGAACTGAACCAGTATTTTCTGAGAAATAGTCCGAGCAAATCTCTGTGTAGCTGGAAACACAAAAATGATTAGCAGGTCAAAAAAAACTTTTTATTCAAGGGCCTCAACTCTCGTCAAAAATCATTCTTGAAAGCGGAACACCCGTGTAATATGCGCAAGTACTTGAACTACTTATCTATCCTGTAATATTACATATCGATATTTCATTAATGGTATGCAGATTAGTCCGGACAAAATCACAAAGGGCAATAACTCTGACAAAAATCATTGAAACCGGTGCATGCGTTTATAAATACAGTATAAATTGACAATCTCCTACACAGTGATCTCCCCTTGTCCGTACAATTCTGCGAAGGGAGGTAATCACTGTGAGGAGTTTGTGAAAAGAATAAAAGTGACGAAAAGCTGATAGCTATAAATTCCAATACAATACTGTACAGTTTAAAAAACATTTCCCTGCAGAAAGCTGTTTAGCTTGTTCATCTATGGTAATATGCAAGGTTCTTGTTTTTTTTCTAAAATCTGGGATATGTTCCAGCTAAAATCAATGGCAGCATCTGACCATTTGTTAAAAATATTTAGTGGTTTGCAACCTTGAAACTGACCTTCCGAAAAAATGCCAGCTCTAAGACCAAAATACTTTTCTGACGCAATTAGGGTTGGGATGATGACGAAAACTATGCACATTCGACCAATTAAAAAGATTCAATACACGTTTGATCCATTTACAGACAATGTAGCATCGATTCGGTAGCAAATATTTATTTTTAATTGTATTGTAACATATTTTCGCGATATAGTTTTCAATCCTGATTATAATTTTGTATTAGTCGTTAAGTTTTAGGACCAAGCAAACTTAAATATAACTGAAAGGTCGTATACACAATATATTAAGTACATTCTCATCTAAGGTTAAACCCCCTATATTGACTGTAGAGATTCTATCCTAATTTTTAAGATTTGTAATTTTGTTGGGGTCTAGTAGAACTAAACTTAAATGCGAAAAACATATGAATGATGATTGTGTCTCAGAGGTGAGAAAAATGTGCAACCTGACAGGGACTTGAATCTGGGACCCTTGTAATATCGTGCCATGGCTCTTCCAATGCCAGCCATTTACACATCACCCCTTGGCGAACTTGTGTGCAGTTCTGAGTCACCTACTCCCCCTGCTATATTGAAATTTCATGGCATTAGAAACAGAGCAATGCGACTTTAGTCATACTCTGAGGAATATGCAGTCATGGCCCCATGTTGAGCCCTTAATGTTACAGGTTGAGAAAAAATGTGCAGCCGGACAGGGACTCAAACCGGGACCCTCAGAATTTATGAGTATGTGGCTATAAATACTGAGCTATCTGCCGCTTAAACATCTTCTTCCTTGTATAGTGAACAGTTCTGAACCATGACTGTTGACATACTGCCCCGCTATATTGAAAGTCATCCTTGAAATTCATAGAGTTACAACACAATGTGGATTAAACTCTGTGCTATATGAAGTCTTGTACCCATGTTGTGCGCCAAAATGTCACAGCAGGGCCTTTTCACTAGTTTTGGGGAAGGCGCCCTAGCCCTTTTTGTGGGGAAAAAATACGCGGTTTTCATACTTTTGGGGAAAATATATTTTCCACAGGCAGTCGGTGTGTGGTTCTATAACCAGATATACTATAAATAAAGACTTATTTAAATCACACATTTGGGGGAAATATCATAATATATTTGCATATTTTCCTCCAAACACACTTAAGGAGCTTTCTGTCCAACATAAGTTAACATAGTGAAGGGATTTTTTTCCAGATCATTTTATTGCCACTTTATATTTGCCCAAGAATATCTTGACTCATATTTCCTAATTATAGAAAATTTACGTAGGACATGTGAGGGTTCTTGATTTGATTCAGAGGGAACATTATTATCAGTTACCACTGTATCACTATTACTGGCACTGTTGTGCTAAGCTCACTATTTCCCAAGTGTAAAACATTTCCCACACTTGGCCATGTTGTGCTACTCGGACACACAAACTTGCGAGGGGATACATGTATTGGATTCTCTTGCACTTACAGGAAGGTCAACAATTCGTCCAATTTTAATAAACAATTACAAACATCACTCAATTGTATTTTCTTCTTGTTCTGTGACATTGTTTACATTTGCGACATCGTAAATTGGTCACCGTATTGTTGTAAAAAATCACGTGTGCAATAAAAAATAAGGCAGCAGGGTTTTCCCATGTTGCTTTTAGAAAGTTGCAAACTCAGACCGAGGCTGTCACCCATTGGGTGCCAAATGTACAGCCTCACTTAGTTAAGTTTTGCACTCAACATCAATCTTCAAAACTTATTATTATTAATAAATTCACTTGAAATTAAGTAATTGTCCTCGGGATCAAAATTGAAGATAACAATGTAAGGCCCATTACTCTACTCCAGCAAGAAATTTTACTGGTTTATGGCACATCTCCGAACATAATCATTCCTGGTGCAACATTGATCTTGAAAACTACTGATAGAATTCACCTCAATGAAATACATGTCTTTGGAATTATTATTGAAGGTCACTTTGCAAGACACATAATTCCAGCATATGGACCTTTATGAGCTTGACAAATTCCTTCAATGGTTTGCTCATTATGCAAATCTTGTAATAACTATTTCGTGAATGTAATTCGGTTGAAATCTTCCTCTTTGTTAATTCCTACATTTTCTAGGCTTTTGTGTTTTTATCAAGCACTGAGAATAATCTATGGTAATGTCATATTAACAGCTCTTGTTGTACTATTCTTACAAGAATGTAAACTTCCTTTCATTCTGCTTCTGCTCCTTAATTTAAAACTGTTTATAAACAAGACATTCATACATAATTATGCACTTTAATCAATATTATACAATTTTAGTTTGAAACTTTAAAGTATGATTATGAATTGAATTCTAACTAAAACCCTAACCCAAATAGCTGCGATTTCACATAAATGTAAGACACATTGTAATCTTACTGAAATAGTTAAAGATCCTGTAACACAATTTTTTCATGGTTTTATTTCATAAATATGATGCTCAAGTTAAGATTTGTCAGTATTGTAAGTTACAATAAGCATTATTTACAAAGATATTACCCAATTTAACATTTCATGTAAATAAAGGGAGGTAATTAGAAATTCATTTTCTATAAATTCTAAGTCAATTTTTCCAATAAAAAATGTATGCATGTAAATTATTGATTAAATATAATGTGCACAAAAATTTGCAGTACACATTTTACATATTCTTCGATGTTTGAAAATTGTTTTATTTGCATAATTATATACATATATAATTGTTTGCAAGTGTGGTATTCACACAGTAACAATATCGATCACAAAACATACAGAAGTGAAATGAAAGTTATTTAAAATATATTTCAGGACTGTAATGAACTCCCTGAATACCAAGAATGTTTTGAGCAGCTCAGTGGCAGTCTCCAAGATCAATATACAATCAGATAGATGTGACCCAGTTATTGATGTAGACTTTGGTAGGTTTATCATGTTTGTAAAGTGCACACTAAAGTGCTCAGGGGTGAGCTTTTGTTATAACATGATGTCTGTTGTTTGTTTTTATGGCTTTATCCATAATTTTTTCTTTTAACAATATCTGATTAGCCACTTGGATGGACATTGGTAGATTTTAGACAAATTTCTCCGAAATTATCCATAAGTGAACCTCTATAAGATTTATTAATGCTTTCAGTCTGAGCAATACCATTGTTGTTTCATTTTAGACGTTTTTTGCTTGAATGCAATGCCCTCAATCCATTTTTGGTTAATTCTTTCCAGGCAGTTAACCAAACTGGCTTTCCTGAATAAGTTGCCAGTATTACAAATTTCTTCTCAAGTGACTAGCTATTTATCCCACATGATCTCTGTATCTGTATTTAGAGACAAATGACTGTGAGCCTCTATGTTTGAGATCAGTTGTCACAGAGAAAATGTTGCCTTGCTCGAGTATTGATCAGTAAGTCCTGGATTACAAGTCCAATGCTCTGGCTTTTGAGCGTTGGACTCATTTCTAGGTTTTGGTAAACTAAATTTTCATTAAAAAAGCAAGTTTATTTTACAAGTATATAAGCTGTAACTTTAATATAGGAAAAATTTTTGTAGCATTAAAAATACAAAAATGTATCAATTGTCAAAACTTCACCGCTGTGGGTTAGAATCCAGACAGGGACTTTGGGTTCTTTCATGTGAGAAAGCTATCCAGCTAGCTTACAGAACGTCGGTGGTTCTACTCAGGTGTCCGTTCGTGCCTGAAATAATCCACAGAAGGACACCTGAGGTCTTCTTCCACCAGTAAACTTTAAAGCTGGAACGTCGCGATATGACCTATATTTAGGGTTGGACACCGGTTCCCGGTATCGGTCCTATACCGAATAGTAACTTCGTAAATTACCGGTATATACCGTTTCGTAAAATACCGGTACTGGATTTGATACTTTTGTAATTTTGTAAAAAAAAATAATTTAATAGTCAATATGTCAAAAAAATAAGAAGATTTTTAAATAAAAACAGCCTACAAACACGTAAAACAAACTATGAATTACTATTATCATGCGGCGAGTACGGCTTTCGCGGCAAAGTTGAAGTTTGTGACGCGGCGATATTTTTGTAAAAGTATTGTGCCGCTTATGTTCAAGATAATAATATTTTTGTACTCGGCAGGAAAATATAATTATTTGAACTGATTTTGGTAAAAGTTTGTAAGTTTTAAATGTCAAAGAAACAACGAGAAAACAAATCAAATACTTGAGTAATCATCGGCACATCGCACACAGTCCTTCCAAACACATCGCACACAGCTTTTGCCGTAATGACAATGTAAATCCAACATATGACAATTGTTTATTCAAACAATGCTTTTAAAAAATAATTAAATCCTTTTTTCAGTTAAGGCTCTAATCACTCATAATGAATACATATTTAATGTTTCCAAGTTCTTTTCATCCATTACCACATGTACAAATCCACACGTGAATTACGATTTTAACATAAATGAGACCGAAATATTCCAACAAAATATGCCTCCTTTTGTTTTTGGTGTAACACTGAAGTATTATTAAACATGTATACATTTTCTTAACAAAACAATGCTGACAGAACTTCAATCAAAAAGTGTGAATGTCGGCGGCTCTTTGATGGTGATAGAGTAACAACATCAAAGGGAGGCATATTCTTTTGAATAGCCTATTATGCACCTGTCAAAGGTCAACTTGTGTGTATTACACATTTAGATCTGTGATACTTTAAACAACTGAGACATATTTCATATAGTGTTTTGTAGGATTTTTTGCAAATGTTGGCTAGTATTTTTGCGTATTTGAGCAATGGAATTATGCAATTTGGTAAGGACAATACTTTTTTTTTCTGTAGCAAGATGTTCACGGTGCATGCTATTGAAAAATAAAAGATGTATAAAATTGAAGGGTAAATTCAATATTAATAAATACCAAATCCTTATTATTTGTAAAGCATAGGTATTTGCTTAATGACTTCTACAAGGACTAATATTAGGTTAACATGGAAATGTAAACAAACAGTCTGTGCTGACTGTGCATATACATGTTTTTCAAAATTTTTAAGTTAATTACTGGTGGAAAATATGTTTGTGCTGTTGTAGTAGAACAGACTGGAATCATAAGTGACTTTGAAAAAACATCTAATGAAATTTCTTACATGTAATTCCAAATTGCAAAGTAAGCCAACCAATCCAGTGATTTCATTTATTACAGTAAACAATAATGTGATTTAAAAAGAATATCAGCATCAGAATAAAATTTCTACACAGTAATAATAATAGCTGTAAGAAAATAATAGATAACCAACTGTCTTAAATTTTTTAAGATGTAGAGATATCAAGATTAAGACAATAATTTGTAGACTTCTCAGCTGCAGACTGCTGTCCTGCATAAGATATTTTGCTGTGTTTAAATTATGTCATGTTCTTTTGATGAAAAAGTAAAAGTATTTTACAATTAACATGTTGTAAATGTTGTAAAAAAGAGTAAACACAAAAACAACAAAAGAAAAGTATACTTTACAGCATGAAATTTCAGAAAGACCAGTAATGTAACATATTTATTTTCTATTACTACATGTTATATCTCTTCAGTTCTTACACTTGCAGCAACGGGTTTGGTATTGTAAAAGTATCAGTATCAGTATCGATAAAATACCCGTATCGTTTCGTCAGTACCGGTATCGGTATCGGACCGTTTCGTGAAGAACGATATCCAACCCTACCTATATTGTGTCGATGTGACGTTAAACCCAAAACAAAAAAATCATGTATTTTATTTAAGTTAAACCTTTTGGATAATCATTTCTGTAATTTTGTATGTATCTTTTTGCAGCTGATGGTCACAAATTAATATTTAAGACGAAACATTTGAAAGCATCCGAGATTCTAGAAAAGTTAGTGTTATTTTGTAACGAGAAAGACACAGCACAGCCGGAGGCAGACCTTGCATTAACGAAGATGTCGGGAAAGCCAAAAGGCAAGAAAAAGAAGTAAAATTACTGTTGACATCATACAAGACTGTGATATTGAATTATGTTACCACTTTTTTTATCATATATGATAAAAAGACATGCTTCAGATGAGACTATTTGGGGAAGTGTATTCATCAGGGCAGAACATAGTGTTCAGTGTTAAAAGTTTGAACCATTTAGCTGCCTATTTAGACAATTACGTAGGACCCACATTCAGAACAGAACTTAAAGTGTTCAGTGTTAAAAGTTTGTACCATTTTACTGCCTATTTAGACAAGTACGCAGGACCCATATTCAGAACAGAACTTAAAGTGCTCAGTGTTCAAGTTTGAAGTGTTTTGTTGCATATTAGGACTGGTACAACAGACTCGCATTCCGAAACATGTTATCGCCAACATGGCAGGTTTACGAGTCTTTATTAATAACATTATTATCGGTGATTGATTAATTTGTTTTGGCATTTTTTTTTATCATAATTATCATGATTTTAGTTTGAGGTTGGATATAAATCATGTTTCCTTAACTTTGTTTATTTTCATCAGTAAAAGTGTAGATTTATATCATATTCTATATATACATAAAATGAAAAAAAATGAAGATCCATCTTCTATAGTATATTCTTTTAATTATGCCCCCCTTCAAAGAAGTGGGGGTTTATGGCTTTGCATTTGTCCGTCGGTCCGTAGACCAAATTGTTGCCGAGTGCTAACTAAAGAACGCTTAGGCCTAGGAACTTCAAACTTGGTATGATGATTGTTCAAGACCAGCAGATGACCCCTATTGATTTTAGGGTCAAAGGTCAAGGTCACATTAACCTTGTAGATAAAAAAGGTTTCCGATCTATAACTAAAGAACGTTAAGGCCTAGGAACCTCAAACTTGGTTTGATGATTGTTCATGACCAGCTGATGACCTCATTGATTTTGGGGTCAAAGGTCAAGGTCACATTGACTTTGAAGGTAAAAACAGTTTCCGATCAATAACTTGACAACTCATGGGCTGTTGGCCTTCAAACTTGGTAGGTGTATTGGACTTGACCAGTAGATGACCCCTATCGATTTTGGGGTCAAGGGGTCAAATATCAAGGTTGCATTGACCTTGTAGGTAAAAACGGTTTCCGATCAATAACTTGACAACCCATGGGCTGTTGGCCCTCAAACTTGGTAGGTGCATTGGACTTGACCAGTAGATGACCCCTATTGATTTTGGGGTCAAGGGGTCAAAGATCAAGGTTGCATTGACCTTGTAGGTAAAAACAGTTTCCTATCAATAACTTGACAAGCTATGGGCTTTTGGCCCTCAAATTTTGAAGGTGCATTGGTCTTGGCCAGTAGATGACCCCTAATGATTTTGGGGTCAGGGGAACAAAGGTCAAGGTTGCATTGACCTTGTATTTCAAAATGGTTTTCTATCAATAACTTGACAACCCATGGACCCTTGAAATTCAAGCTATACAGATACATTGCTTTTGGACAGAGGATGACCTCAATGGATTTTTGGCGTTTAGGGGTCAGAGGTCAAGATCACATTGACCTTATAGGTAATAACGCTTTCTGATCAATATCCCAATTCATGGGCCCTTTACCTTCAAACTTCACAGGTGCATTGGTCTTGGCAAGTATATAACCCCCATTGATTTAAGGGTCAAAGGTCAATGTCATATTGACCTTGCATGTAAAGACTGTTTCTGACCAATAACTCAACAACTTGATTGATATTTTTTTATTAAACTAAAAATCCTTATGGTATACACATTTCAAGGTCTTATGTAATATAACAACTTGGCTGTCATTAATGAGGCCTACATGATTCATAAAATTTATGCATATATTATTTGGTAAGATTTGAAATAACTTTGTCATAAAATTGCTGCACACAACCTTTGCGGTAACAATTACCTAGTGAATAGTCATCACCAGTAATTAATCCTTATTGGTTTTTTGGTCACTAGGTCAAAAGTCAGTCATAATAACCTGATCACGTGACTAATTGGCTGCTGATAGGGGGCATACATGTTTTACAAACATATCTTGTTCATGCAAATATATATTATTTTTATACAATTACCAGTACAGCTGTGTCAGAGAAATGGCTAATAAACCTTTGCACACTGTGAAAGAAAAGAAAGTGTGAAGAGTTTCTGTTTCTCTATCTCATGGTGTTAAAGCTGCACACATCCAGATTCATGCTAATTTTCATGAAAATGTATTTGAATGTGTAATATTGTGAAGTTACCAAATGGAAGCAATTTACACATTATCAATGGCACTTATAAACCATGTCAATTACCATATTGTGGTCAAAATATGCATAAATAGTAACGCAGTAGAAATATAGTTGTAAATACTGTAAAATTTGCCATAAATCGCACACAAGTAAAATATCACTTGAAATTTTTTTACTTTTCCTTACTTCTTAGTACATTTTTCTCAAGTTTGATTTTATTGAAATATTTTGACTCATCTGGAGGCATGCAGCTTTAACCCTTCTGCCATAAACCTACTGAGTGCATAATATGAATTTGCCAAGCTTTGGATAGGATTGGATAGGTTCCATATGTGATTTCAATATCAAAATACAAGAATTGAGTAATCAACAGTAAACAGCCTGGTAAAACCATTTTATCTTGTTTGTTATAATGATTTACATAGAAGGGTTGTTAATAACCTGTGAGGAAGTGGGTCATAGGCTCAGGTTTCATAATTAATTTATGCAACTGCCCAAAGAGATTTGATTTGTTTATGATCTTTACAAGTAGGAAAAAACAATGATGAACCAAAAATATCATCTTTGGAAAGGTTTTATAGCCAATTTTTTTTTTATTTTGAACATATCGTGCCATCTTAAATTGGCCTTTTCCTTAATTTGACAACAGTTTCCTTATGTTAAAAGTCCCTGTGAGATGTCATTAATTATGCAAGAACATCCTCAGACTTTTTCACAGCATAGTAAATTTTATGCACTGCTATATTTTCAGGAGCATAAAACAAGTTGAATAATAATTTTGTGTATAAAAGTTACATTATCATTATGTTTAATTGAAGTTTAATATATTAATAAGCTTTAGCAGTCCACTGTTTTTGGCTTTTCATAGTGCCCTTGTTGCTTGTTTCAAAGCCATTATTTGACATTCCTAAAGACTTTAATAAATATGGGTTTCTGAGACATAATGTGCCTTGAACTTTGTTTTTCTAGGTTTTTACACATTTTTGGTCACATCCACCAAATAAGCTTTCCTGAATAACTAACCAGTAATGAACTATTTCTCCAAGTGACCAACAACTAATCCAACACTTTTCTGAATTAGCGGTGAAAAGCAGATGATCATTTACGGAACGTCAGTGGTTCTACTCAGGTGCCCGTTCGTGCTGGAAAGGCACCTGCGGTCTTCCTCCACCAGTAAAGCTGGAACGCCGCGATATGACCTATACTGTTTCAATGTGACGTAAAACCCATAACAAACAAAACAAACCCAAGATCGTCACTGGAAAAATTTAAAGCCTAGGTTAGAATCAGACAGCCCTGTATTACTTATCTGATACTCTACCTATCGAGCTAAGTGGGGCGAACTAGTTATACCCCCACAAACGAAGATAAGGAAGATAGGCATTTAATTGTAATAATTATTGGTATACTGATAAAGCATCATTGATTATAGGTCAAGTTTAAATTTTGCTTCAGACCACTTATTTCTCAAAAAGTTGGGAATCGCCTTTAATGATATCTCTAGAATAATGCTGTAATTCATAATAAAGTTATAACAAATCAAATTTTGTTTTTCATGTAGAGTTTAATTTGGCAATTACTCCTTATTTCAAGTATAATAACATATAGGCACACAATAGAGACACTAATTCAACATAAATACCTCGCTGTCATAACAAAATCACTACATATTCCCTGAAATTCTTCACAAGTTCAGTTTTTTCTATGTAATTCACAGTATGACCTCACAAATGGCAAGCAACAGTTGCTGAATTTTTCACCACGATTCATTTAATGATATCAAAACACAAAGAGAACAGTCATCATTTTTAACATTAAAAAAAAAAAAAATGCGGTCCTTTATAAGATTGCTATTCGCTTAGGATTGAGATGTTTCAAAACTGAACATGAATGGTGAAGCAACATTCTTACACGCCCATGAATTGTTTTATCACTGAATTATATATTTAATCCTATTTTTTCCATTTATCGGCATGCGCGTATTGTGTCATTGGTTTCCCAGATTTACCACAGGTACCGACCCCAACCTTGCCTTCCACGGAGTCTGGTGTGGCGAAAATACTTTTCTTAACTTTACCTTTACTCGTCTTGGAAAATGTCTGGAAAAAAAATCATATAAAAAATTTACAAAACTTTCTATTCAAGAACTGTTCTTAGCAACAGTTAATATAAATAATTTATACAATGTTCATGTATCCTGTACTTATATAAAAATTAGAATAAGTTTTGATTCTTGAAAACGAAATAATAATAGAAAAAGATATTCTAAAATAAAAATCTTAAGTATGTCCTTATTTTATCAAATTCAAAATCGTAATGGACTGGGTACTTAAAACGTCAAATGTCATAAAAACATATAGATATCAGTTCTGTTAAATAAACCCATAAACTGCCTGTCTGTACATATGTGCAGTCTGAGCAAGCTATATACTGTCGTAAGCCGCTGGTGACTGAAGGGTAGCCTTTACTGGTTAAGGCATAAGAATTGCAGCCAAAAATTATCCCTGAATGATCATAAGAGGCAACTAAATGGGTTCAAATAACTGGAGTCTATGAATACAGCATTTCTTAGCTTCAGGTGAGGTGGTTTTGACCCCTGGCCCCCGTGTTCACAAAGATTTAAGGATCAGGATCAAATCTAAAAACTCAAATATTCTCCATTGTTTATTCTCATAGATTAAATATTTAATATTAATATGATAAAACTGGACTTGAAATAGCATGTTTTTGAAATTTTAGAATAAATTTATTGTTATTTTGCAAGATATGGGCATTTTACAGTTAATCCAAATATTGATCTTTATCTTAAAATTGATCCTTATTTTGATCCGATTATTTTTGTATTTGTTTCGATATTTGTCTATTTTATCCCAAAATAGGGTTGTTTCTTTGCAAATCAGCAAAGTTTTACATTATCTTTATGTACCATTTAATTCTACAAAATACGATCAATATTAGTTTTATAAAACAAAGAAAATAAAATCAGGATCACTTGATCCTGATCCTGATCTTTTCTTTGTGAACACCGGGCCTGGTTTTGCTTTGAAGTTTGTAACACCCTAGGTTAGCCAAAATCATCAGTCCTCTTTCGGTACCATTATCATGAGCTTTACTGTGTACCAAAAACAGCACCAGCGCTATAAAACCAAACCACCAAAAAAAACCAATACTGTCGGAGTCTATAGTTTTGTATTTTGTTTACCCTCTACCTTTAAATGGACTGTTCCAAATTCAATGCATGGCATATTGATTACACAAACTCGACAGTAGGGGTGTCAAGTTTAGTTTATCAGTTTAAAACAGGTCAAGGTCGGTTTTTAACCAAAAACCGGTTAGGAAATTAAATAACCGGAAACTGAAGCTAGTATCAGACCAACAGCTGAAGAAATTTTAGACTGGATTTTAACATTACCTTTGTTTCTTTTATGACATGCTATGACATTTTGTTGAATTATAAATGTATTTTTCCGATTGCATGCTATCTTATTGTGTACGGAATGATGCTAACGGACAACAGTTTCTCCATAATTGTAAATGTTTTGTGATTCTTGTCAAAAAAAGCAAAATACAAACAAAGTGTGCTATATTATCAAAGTTTAAATGTTTAAAATGTAAGAATTATGGTTGTATGGTTTAAATGATTAGCACGGTTATTTAGTTGCGGTTATTTAGTTGCCGTTTAAACGGTTAGCATTTAAGCGAATTGGACACCCCTACTCAGCAGGAGTTTAAATCAGAAGTGCTTATTGAAACAGAACCTCACCTTTGCATTAAAATCTAGCCATTTGTTTTTCTCCGTTTCTCTTTCCTCTTCTAACTGTTTTTGTCTCTGAGCTTTCTTTTGGTTCTTCTTACGTTTGTATTCTCTTTCTAATGCCAGTTTGTCTTTTCTGAAATGAATGGAATGTAAGTATATAAATATGTACTGTATATCATTATATGCACTGTACCTCTGATCTAGCATGTACAGAAGTTACATTTCCTTGCGAAAGTAGTACTGGCAAACTGCTCGACAGCCTGCCCAGGAACATTGCGGTGGCTGAACTGAGCTCTAGTATATTCAATGTGGCTTACTGCAGTGATCTGGGGTGAAAACCACCAACATCATAATAAGCTATGCATGTCTTCGTTCTTGCAAGGGGTTACAGATTAACGGTAGGGAAATAAGAAATACCTCGACCAAAAGTCTTAAAAAATAAGATTTGAAATTCCTAATTAGATCCTTTGGAGGACTTGAAACGGGAAAAAAACATGCAAAAGATAATAAAGAAATATACTTAGTATTTAATTAAAAAAAACTTTATTTTTGAATGATTTTTAGCCAGATCAACTTTGGGTCATTTTAAATTAAATAATTATTCTGGAAAAAGGGTTTGCATCATTGATCTGAAATTTGGCATATGAGCCATAAGTCAAGACCTACATGAAATGGAACACAAATCACAACAAGAGCACCGCTAGGCAGAGCATTATATGCCTGAAAAGTAAATATTAAGGTCATTTGATATTGACCTTTGACCTTGTGACCCCAATATAGATATGGTTTTTATTCGAGATAGGCAATCATCCTATGGAGTTTGAACACTGTAAGCCAAATGGAACTTGTGTTATGCTCCAGAAACCACAAATTTCAGTGATAAGGTCATTGTGACCCTGACCTTTGACCTTAAAGTCATATGGGGTCATGTATTGGACATGGCCGTTCATCCTAAAAAATTTAACAGCTGTAGGTTGATTAATACTTAAGTTAGTGAGCGAAAACCGTTTTCAGATTTAAGGTAATAGTGACCTTAACCTTGTGACCCAAAAATTAATAGGGGTCTTCTTCTCAATATTGACAATCATCCTATAAAGTTTGAACACTGTAAGCCAAATGGAACTTAAGTTATGCTCAAGAAACCACAATCTTCAGTGTAAAGATCATTGTGACCCTGACCTTATGACACTAAAATTAATAGGGGCCATGTTTTGCACATGGCTGTTCATTCTATAAAATTTTACAGCTGTAGGTTGATTAATACTTAAGTTATTGAGCAGAAACTGTTTTCAGTTTTAAGGTAATAGTGACCTTGACCTTGTCAATCAATTTGAGGTCTTCTACTCATTTTGGACCATCATCTTATGAAGTTTGAATATTGTGGGCCAAATGGAACTAAAGTTATGCTCCGAAATTCTTTCGGGCATATAAAAAGGACTTTCATCCCGTCCTGTTAAAACACCTCAATAGAGTCCTTATCAGTAAACAATGTCTTTGAGTAAAAGAAGGTAAAAGAACTGATAGTCGACTTGGTTACAAGGACTTCTTTTGATCTTACTGATGTTCTAACTTACTTTGATAGAGGTTTCTTCGAATCACCCGCACCTTCGGCCATTTTTCTCTTCCCTGATTCTGTTTCTAGGGGTTTCAAAAGTGACACCTAAAAATTGAAAATGCAGTAAGAAATTTCATCTGTGGAAACAATAAACAAGTGCTTAAACATACAGAGAAAAGAAAATAATCTGTAAAGCTGATCTATATTGTCGTTTTAAACTGCAAGATGAATATACCCTTCCTAATAGAATCATCTGTTTGGCAACAATATGAGTATACTTATTACTGGGATATTTATTTTTTTAGTTTTACGTCCAGCCAACACAGTATAGGTTTTATGATGACTTTCCAGCTTTACTGGTAAAAGGAAGACATCGGGTGCCCCTCTGTACATTATTTCAGGCACAAACGGGCACCTGTGTAGGGTTGGACACCGGTTCCCGGTATCGGTCCTATACCGAATAGTAACTTCGTAAATTACCGGTATATACCGTTTCGTAAAATTCCGGTACTGGATTTGATACTTTTGTAATTTTGTGAAAAAAAATAATTTAATAGTCAATATGTCAAAAAAAATAAGAAGATTTTTAAATAAAAACAGCCTACAAACACGTAAAACAAACTATGAATTACTATTATCATGCGGCGAGTACGGCTTTCGCGGCAAACTTGAAGTTTGTGACGCGGCGATATTTTTGTAAAAGTTTTGTGCCGCTTATGTTCAAGATAATAATATTTTTGTACTCGGCAGGAAAATATAATTATTTGAACTGATTTTGCTAAAAGTTTGTAAGTTTTAAATGTCAAAGAAACAACGAGAAAACAAATCAAATACTTGAGTAATCATCGACACATCGCACACAGTCCTTCCAAACACATCGCACACAGCTTTTGCCGTAATGACAATGTAAATCCAACATATGACAATTGTTTATTCAAACAATGCTTTTAAAAAATAATTAAATCCTTTTTTCAGTTAAGGCTCTAATCACTCATAATGAATACATATTTAATGTTTCCAAGTTCTTTTCATCCATTACCACATGTACAAATCCACACGTGAATTACGATTTTAACATAAATGAGACCGAAATATTCCAACAAAATATGCCTCCTTTTGTTTTTGGTGTAACACTGAAGTATTATTAAACATGTATACATTTTCTTAACAAAAGAATGCTGACAGAACTTCAATCAAAAAGTGTGAATGTCGGCGGCTCTTTGATGGTGATAGAGTAACAACATCAAAGGGAGGCATATTCTTTTGAATAGCCTATTATGCACCTGTCAAAGGTCAACTTGTGTGTATTACACATTTAGATCTGTGATACTTTAAACAACTGAGACATATTTCATATAGTGTTTTGTAGGATTTTTTGCAAATGTTGGCTAGTATTTTTGCGTATTTGAGCAATGGAATTAAGCAATTTGGTAAGGACAATACTTTATTTTTCTGTAGCAAGATGTTCACGGTGCATGCTATTGAAAAATAAAAGATGTATAAAATTGAAGGGTAAATTCAATATTAATAAATACCAAATCCTTATTATTTGTAAAGCATAGGTATTTGCTTTATGACTTCTACAAGGACTAATATTAGGTTAACATGGAAATGTAAACAAACAGTCTGTGCTGACTGTGCATATACATGTTTTTCAAAATTTTTAGGTTAATTACTGGTGGAAAATATGTTTGTGCTGTTGTAGTAGAACAGACTGGAATCATAAGTGACTTTGAAAAAACATCTAATGAAATTTCTTACATGTAATTCCAAATTGCAAAGTAAGCCAACCAATCCAGTGATTTCATTTATTACAGTAAACAATAATGTGATTTAAAAAGAATATCAGCATCAGAATAAAATTTCTACACAGTAATAATAATAGCTGTAAGAAAATAATAGATAACCAACTGTCTTAAATTTTTTAAGATGTAGAGATATCAAGATTAAGACAATAATTTGTAGACTTCTCAGCTGCAGACTGCTGTCCTGCATAAGATATTTTGCTGTGTTTAAATTATGTCATGTTCTTTTGATGAAAAAGTAAAAGTATTTTACAATTAACATGTGTAAATGTTGTAAAAAAGAGTAAACACAAAACAACAAAAGAAAAGTATACTTTACAGCATGAAATTTCAGAAAGACCAGTAATGTAACATATTTATTTTCTATTACTACATGTTATATCTCTTCAGTTCTTATACTTGCAGCAACGGGTTTGGTATTGTAAAAGTATCAGTATCAGTATCGATAAAATACCCGTATCGTTTCGTCAGTACCGGTATCGGTATCGGACCGTTTCGTGAAGAACGATATCCAACCCTACACCTGTGTTGAACCACTGACATTCCGTAAGCTAGCTGAATAGCTTTCTCTCATGTAGAATCTCACTATGCTTGCCCGGCTCCAACCTACAGCAGTGACAGGCAAGTGGTTTGAAATCAACAACCTTAACCACTCATTTATTATTATTGGGATATTAATTGATTTATTGATTTTTCATAGTTTTACACAATGGAGAGAAAAATAGACTATACATTCCATAAATGTTCGTAGTCGATCAGCCAAGTTCACCTTAGGTATTATAGTACTGTAATAAAGATTTTGACAACTTATTGTGCCCAGAATTAAATGAGGTCAACAGTTGCTGGCTTATATAAGTTAATAACACAAGCTCTAAATCATCATTTAAACATTGCAGGTGAGCAGTGGCCTAGTGGTTAACGTGTCTGCCTCTCAACCGAGGGATCATGGGTTCATACCCTACTCGGGTCACACACCATGTATCTTCATATGACACAAGTACTGATTGGTTGCAGGTAGCAGACTCGAAAGTGATTAATATAAGTTGCAAGAACTTGTTGCCCAACTGAGCTTAACCTTTTCCCTTATATAAGCGTGTTTCGACGGCTTTTTGCCCCCCCCCCCCCTTTTGAGGCCTCAAACAGTGAAAAAATGTCCTATTTAGACCCAAAACACTGTTTTTCGTTAGAGAAATGTTGTTAAAAAAGTGACCATTTTTTCGGCGCCGTCCCTCATCCAATTAATACATCAGGGGGTTGCCAGAAGGGGGATGTGCCCCCTTCTGTTTGGGGGGTTTGAAGGGGGGCTCATCACCAAGAAAATTTTGGACTTGTGAGAGGCTTAAAATGACCCCAGGTTGATCATAAAGTAACGTGTAACCAACGCTGAAAAGCCTTTGACTCTATCTCAATCCATTGAGAAGTTGCAGCACTTTGAAATAAATTTTGATGGAAAAAATCGAGGCAAAATAGTGATTTTTGGCAATTTTGAGATGTCCCCTCATTGCCATGGTAACAGAAAATTTAAGACTGAGCATGTCGTTACAAAGGCAATGGTCCACTCAACATTTGTGCCAAGTTTGATTAGTATTGAAGCATTTTTCATAGTTTCATAGCAGTTTGAACTTGTAAGAGGAGGCTTTTCAGTGAAAATGGCCATTTTTCACAATATGCTCATGGGGGAAAGGGTTAAATAAATATTTTTAAACTAGACAATGTCATAAAACCTAGCAAAAGTTTTTTCTATCACACTGCATTTCTTCAATGAAAATAAGAATTAATTCATTTAAAATTAGAACTATCACTAAATGTGATTAATACCCCCTCAAGATTTCGGAAATGAGGAAGTTACTAGTAAAAGAATACCTTGCAAAAGAATTGAAATAGAGTTATGGTTGTGGGCAATTAAAGATAGTTGTGGTTCTTGTATGTTGCATTTCCTTTCAATCATGTAGACCAAAGTTTTATTGAATAACTCTGTAATAAGTCCAGAAAGAGTTACACTTCTTGAGTACTGCTCTTCCTCTCATTGGGCTTGACCATTGTATGAAGTTGCATTGAATTCTAAAGATAAGTTTTTAAGTTATGCAAGAAAAAGGATCAAAGGGCAATAACTCTACAAATACTGAAGATGGAGTTAAGGTTATTGTACAATGCACTTCCTCTCATTGCGCTTGACCAATGTATGAAGTTGTATTGAATTCCAACAACTAGTTTTCAAGTTATGCACTGGACAAAAAAGGAACAAAGGCCAATAACTGTAATTTGTCCAAATAGAATTATGGTTCTTGTGCACTGCACTTCATCTCACTGCCCTTGACCATTGTATGAAGTTTCATTGAATTCCAATCATTAATTTTCAAGTTATGCACTGGACAATAAAAAGTAACAAAGGGCAAAAACTCTTAAATTAGTCAAGAAAGAGTTTTGGTTTCTGTACACTGCGCTTTCTCTCAATATACTTGACCATTCTATGAAATTGTATTGAATTCCAACCAGTAGTTTTCAAGTAACAAAGGGCAATAATTCTATTATTACTCTGGACAGAGTTATGGTTCTTGTGCACTGCACTTCCTCTTATTGTGCTTGACCATTGTATGATGTTGTTTTGAATTTGAACCAGTACTTTTCAAGTTATGCTCCGTCAAAGGAAAAGTAACAAAGGGCAATAACTCTGTAATTTGTCAAAATGGTGTTATGATTCTTTTGCAATCCACTTCGGCTGAATGTGCTTGACAATTATATGAAGTTGTATTGAATTTTAACTAGTAGTTTTGAAGTTATGCTCCGGACAAGGAAAAGTAACAAAGGGCAATAACTCTGTAGTAAGTGGAGATTGAGTTATGGTTCTTGTGCAGTGCACTTCCTCTCAATGTGCTTGACCATTGTATGAAGTTATATTGAATTCCAACCATTATTCTTCAAGTTATGGTCCGGACAAAAGAAAGCAATGGAAAAGTAACAAAGGGCAATAACTCTGTTATAACTTTAGATAGAGTTATGGTTCTTGTGCACTGCACTTCCCCTTATTGTGATGACTATTGTATGAAGTTATTTTGAATTCCAACCAGTAGTTTTCAAGTAATGCTCCGGACAAGGAAAAGTAACAAAGGGCAATAACTCTGTAATTAGTGTAGATAGAGTTATGGTTCTTGTGCACTGCACTTCCTCTCAATGTGCTTGACCACTGTATGAAGTTGTATTGAATTCCAACCATTTGTTTTCAAGTTATGCTCCGGACAAGGAAAATGCAACGGACCCCTGGACTGATCGACCAACCGACGACCACCAAGTGACTCCTATATACCCCCCCCCCCAACTTCGTTTTGGGGGTATATAATAATAAGTAGTATTATAATAAGATGTATTTTGGTTTATACAGAATTTATTTCAATTTGATTGTGTAGGAAGCTATAAGCTTATTATAATTTAGATACACTTTCGAATCTGTTCCTAGAATCCACCAGTACTGAGCAATGAGTGTAAAGATTCTTGCTTGAGGAAGCAATGACTTGACCTTGTGAGGTTTGAACCCATGTGGCTAGCGATCATTAGATAACTAGTATGACGCCTTAACCCCTTAACCACTTGGCCATGCCGCCACTTGAAAGATGTGTTTTTTGTGTACATACCTCTGTAACGTCTGTGTTACCATATTCATCGAATGTTACAGTACATGATCCATCTTCTAATATCTCATCTACAGTAGCTTCATAGTAACTATCAAAAACAAAATATATATAGTTCAATACAATGAATATATATTTTTTTGTTTGACCAGTATATTATCAGAAATAGTAAGTCTGACCCTTCACTTTTTTGTTGACACCTTCAAAGTGTAAAAATGAAGAAAAAAAGGGCAATAACTCAAGAATTAGGCAATGCAGAGATATAGTTCTTATGCACTGCACTTATACTTAACCCATTACGTGATATACACGCTTTTTAACGCCTTTTTCACCAAACACCCCCCCCCCCCCCCCCGTTTTTTTTGTTGTCTCTAATGGTGAAAAAATGCCTTATTTAGGCCCCCAACACTTGTTTTTGTTTGAGAAATGTTGTTAAAAAAAGTGACCACTTTTTCGGCGCGGCCCTGCAACCAAAAGATACATCAGGAGGTTGCCAGAAGGGGGATGTTTTCCCTTCTGTTTGGGGGGGGTTTGAAGGGGGGCGGAGTCCCCCTCATCGCCAAGAAAATTTTGGACTTGTGAGAGGCTATAAATGACCCCAGATTGATCATACCGTAACGTGTAACCAACGCTGACAAGCATTTGACTCTATCTCAATCCATTGAGAAATTGCAGCACTTTGAAATCAATTTTGATGGAAAAAATCAACGCAAAATAGTGATTTTTGGCAATTTTGAGATGTCCCCACGTTGCCATGGTAACAGAAAATTTAAGCCTGAGCATGTTGTTTCAAGGGCAATGGTCCAGTCAACATTTGTGCCAAGTTTGATTAGTGTTGACGCAGTTTTTATAGTATTATAGCAATTTGAACTTGTAACGGGAGACTTTTCAATGAAAACAGCAATTTTTCACAAAATGCTCATGAAGTAATGGGTTAAACCACACTTATACCTCATGTACATGTAGTTTCAAAGTTATGTCCCGGACAAAATGCAGACAAACAGGCATACAAACAGACAAAGGGATGACTATATACTCTCCCTTCGGGCAGCATAAAAAGGAATCCGGATTCATACCAGAAGTGCTAATTCTAAGTCAGCAATATAAACAAATTAGCCACATTACACAAATGAAAGCATTCTTCTATTTTTACATAATAATCAATATAATAATCATTTTATATATAATCACTTACTTTTTATCTTCTGACCAAATAGCCAAACATTTCTCGCCAGGTTGCCAGTGTTTTACTGGTGCCCGTTTCAAGCTTGTAGATTGTTCACTGTCTCCCGTCTCAGACTCTGTGGTATCGGTGGTACCAGGCGTCTGCTTTTGTCCAATCAGATCAACAGTCAACTGTATCACCTCCTACATCAGGGAAACACACAGAACAACAATACTTTAGATAAAGAATATTACCCAACAAGCTAACAAACGTTTTTTAATTGTAAAGTACTTAACAACGTAAACAGTTTTGTGCATAAATTGTTTAATTAACATAAATCATATAAAGAAATGAGTCTTTTGTTTCACATGCTGCCTCTTAAATGTTTTCATATATTATGACATTCATTTTCTACCTTTTTAGTACCTTTTGCTGCAGACTGATGGAAGTTAACCATATTTAAAATAAATAGAATATATTATATGTTTATACATATATGCAATGACCATTTCACTAAGACTATGTTTGTATAGAAAAGTTGGTCATGCAATTTCTTATCTTCTCTTTCAATCAAATTAGTTTGGTTTTTCACAGCAGTCTAAGACAGATTTAATAACATTTTTCCAAACCTTTCCGATATGGGAAACAAAAATCAAATACAAATCTTATTCATTTTTCTTGTGGTCTTGCATCAAGAATTTTTGTAGGGTTTTTTGGTGTTTATCTTTACCCATATTGCATATACTTACACAGCAAGAACTGACTGCCCCTTTAGCATTTACATTTTCTTGTTCATCTATAAAATACAATCTAATATCACATTAAAAATGTTCACTAACTGAGTCACTTACAATAGTACTTTGTATCCGCCATTTTTAAAATGATTCAAATTCAAAGAGTACACGAAGATTTAAAACTTAACTTGCCAGAAAAAAATGAAGTATATTTTGCCAAGGAAAAATCAGTTTTCAAAATTACATTTAATATACAGACAAAATTCAGCAACTGATTTATTGGGTAAACAATAATTGGTTTTCGGTTAAGTAGATTCTAGACAACACATTTCCCATACACAGGTATTACTATTAGAGAATGTCAATACTTTTGTCTGTATCGGTATGCATGTAACATTGAAACAGTGAGTAAAGCTGCATTTTAACTTCAATTATAACCATCTATAAATACTTCTTCACTTCCCTAAAAGTTGCATACGATTTAGCAAGTTTGAAAAAGTGTATTTTTTAAACTTATTTTTGCATCTTTACTTTTGTTAATAAGAATTTTAAATGTATGAACACATATTGAATTTCAGGAAAATAAAGTTTATACACAAAGCTATGATAATAAGAAATGAAGGATAAGTAATGAACCTGAGAAGTAAAACCTCACCTGTAAATCAGTTTTCAACTTTTGCAGATCTTCATTCTCCGGGTCTAATGACAGTGAATCTTCTACCTAAAAATTAAAAAAAAAGAAATCTAATGGGATGTATATTAAAATTTATAAAACATTTAAAAATATCTAATTAAATATGAGAGTTGGTGGCACAATAGCTCAGTTGGTTAGACCACTCCTGAGGTCCCAGGTTTGATCCATGGTAACAACCTTAGGATTTTACAGAGACACTTTCAATGTTTCCCACCTACCTAGAGGTGTACTGCTTAGAATCAACTGGGCATGTGAAAGAACCAACGGGTCAATTCAATAGGAGCTAGGGACTGTTCGCGGTATAATCAAGTGTGATTGTGCCGACATACAATGGGTAGTCAGACTATTCTCTCCCTTACCAGTTCCTCCCCTGACGTTTCCTCCCTGACGGTTCTCTCCCTATTTTGGGGGAGAACTGTCTGCATATTTGCAAATTAGAAGACAGTTCCTCCCCATTCTTATTTTTATAATTACATTATTATTAAAGTATTTAGATGATAAATAAATGGGTAAGTTTATTATCAATTGATATAAATTAGAAAAAAATAGATTTTATTGAAGTGTTTAGATGTTAAATAAATGGGTAGGTTTATTATAAATTGATATAAATTAGAGAGAAAAATACTTTAATGAAGTATTCAGATGTTTAATTCAAGTTTCAATTTTGTTAGCATCATCAGCAACAATAAATCGGTAAGTTTATTATCAAAAATTAATATAAATTAGAGAAAAAAATATTTTATTGAAGTATTTAGATGTTTAATAAATTTGTAACTTTATTATCAATTGATATAAATTGAATTAGAAAAACTTTTTTTTAACATATAATAATAATTGATCAATGATGATATTAGTTAATTATTCTGATTTTTTAATTGGATGTAATGTATACTTTTTAACGTGTTTAGTCATTGAAAATAATTAATGAATAATTTACTTGATTAGGATACAGTAATCATAAGTTATTATTTTCTAAATTTCTTTTTTAATAAATAAAAATGAAATTTATAGGCAAAAAATGATTAATAAATTTTAATTGCTAAACTTTTGTATAATGAAAAAAGGAGTTCAATACACACATGTATGCGTTAAGTTTGCTGTCAGTGATAATTGAGGTGTTTATTAATTCATTACTCAAGAATCAAGGTGTTGATTAGATTAAAATACATGTAGCTGTGAAAAGGTGTTGATGAATAAGTATTATATTAGTTATTTGGTATTATATATTGTTTCAAGTTAATGACTGGAATGTGTTTGCATACCAGTTGTTGTTTATTTATTTTGTTGAACATGCTTGTTTCCACCTTATTCACTATTTAACAAATGAATGAACATCACAAGCTAGACCTTAACATAATTACAGGTGTATATCAATCACTGTCCAATGATCTATATCTCTCACAATAAAGGTGTTGATAGGATTAAAATACTGAAAAAAAGGTATTAAATTTACAAACACTTTTCAGCTGATAAACATAAAACATAGAATGCAGTTAATATCAAACACATTCTTTTAATAATCTTCATTAAGAAATATTATTAGATTAAGTCAAAACTAAAATGATAACTTATAAAAATAAAATTGGGGGAGAACTGTCTGCATATTTCAAATTTGGGAGAGAACCGTCAGGGGAGGAAACGGTTAGGGAGAGAACCGTCAGGGGGAGGAACTGGTAAGGGAGAGAATAGTCTGTCATTCCATACAATGTAGATGTATCTCCTAGCTGTCTCTCAATTCAATTCCATGTATATCTGAAGACTGCTTAGTGTAATTGTAAACGACTTTGAAACAGTATGATGTACATGATGATGTTTTTGTTGAGCGAATCATCACTGAAATGATGCCATGCATTTCGTTATGGGGCGAGTCATGAGTGGGACGAATCGTGAACATTTCCATGAAAAAATAATGATGTGAATCTAAAGCTCAATTCAGTATATTTCAGGAATATTGAGAGAAAAAACATATACCTGTTGTAACTGAAGCCTATACATAGAGACATTTTCTTCCAGTTCATCTGCCATTATTGTCTATCTAAAAAGTAAAATTCAGAAAATTTCTTCCTCGTTTACAGCTTTGTTTATTCTCGTGTTTATTCCGTACTGAAATGCGGAACCCACTAATCGACGGTATCCGGTCTTCGACGGTGGAAAATGGAACGGTTTTATCTCTATCTATCTCATGTATCTTTGATTTAGTCAAACACCTGCTGGGGACCTAGACTTGACGCGCGTCAACTGACAAGAATGTTAGTAAAAACCTGAAATGAAATAATATAAAAGTAATGGAAATGAGTATATTGTTAAAAACAGGTTAAAAACAGAAGAGGTATTTTAGGGAGACGTATGTTCAGTCCGGCTTAAAGCCAGACTGAACTCAGGGCCAGACAAGTTTATGATATCAGGTGGTAAAGCATTCCAGTGGACTATTGTTCTTGGGAAAAATGAATATTAATAGTAATCAGTTTTAGTTTGGACTTGCTTGAATGCATAGAGATGATCTTGTAAGAGGGGTGATATACTTTGGGAAACGGAAAAGGGGTGAAGCTGTACTCGAGCTGGGGCCTGACAAGTGTCTTGTATGCGGTTGACTTTAACCTTTCTGAGTGAACTTTGATGTTTCGGCGTAGAAAACCAAGTGTTTGATTCACCTTTAACACATCTGCGGATATGTTTCTAAATTCAAAAGTTTAGACACTATTTTTGTGTTAAATGTTGAATTCTGCTTAAGCTGGTGCTAGGGGGCGTGTACGGTAACTTGCACTTTCCATTACCGTCCATGAACAGGCTCAATCAAACCGAGCCTGCAACATTTTCAATTTGTTGTGTTGGGCTTTCTTTAGGGATTCTGTATTTCTCTATTTTGTTGTGATGTTAATTGTTTATGTGTTTGTTCCATGTTAGATCATTTGATATTATAATGCCAAGGTATTTTGCAGATGGAACTGTTTCTAATGTGGTATTGTGTAGGAGGTATTGTGTTGGAATGACTGTTTTTCGATTTGTGATTTGGATAACCTGGCATTTTGATGGATTAAATTGCATGTCCCATTTTGTCTCCCAATGTTCTAATTGCAGTAAGCTAGAATGAGAAGCGAGACAGTCAGAGATAGATAGATGGTCGTGTCATCAGCAAATAGGCGGACTTTAGAGGATTGGACATATTCAGGAAGGTCATTGATGTATAAAAGAAATAAAAGAGGTCCGAGGACCGAGCCCTGGGGAACACCGGAGGAGAATGGTATGGAGCTGAATGTGAAGCCATTTACGACTACGGACTGTGACCTGTTATCAAGAAAACCTTTGATCCATTTAAGAGTTTGACCCCTAATACCGTAGAAATGCAGCTTATACAGAAGTTGTTCATGGTTGACCATATCAAAGACATTAGAGAAGTCAAGAAGTATTTTAAAAGTCTACTTGGCTTCTCTGATTTACTGACTGTAGGATATCATCTATAAGCATTAATAATTGGGATTGACATGACATTTTTTTCTCGGAAACCATGCTGCAATTCATCTAGTAAAGTGCTTTGTTATACTAGAGGAGACAATGTGTTCCAGGGTTTTACACAAGATACAGGTAAGAGAGATAGGGCGATAGTTGGCTGGGTCTGACTTGCTACCTTTTTTAAAGCCGGGGCGACAAAATGTCTTGTAGAGTGCTGGACTGCAGTGATTTCACACTATAGGGGCTAATTCTTTACTGGTATTTTTGAGCACAATGGGTCTAATTTGATCAGGTCCTGCAGCCTATTGGGGGTTGAGGTTTTTTAAAAGCTTCTCAACAGCTTTTACAGAGATATAAATATCACACATGGGATTATGGGGGCTAAATGATGTGTGTGGAACCTCTCTACCTGTATCTGCCTGGTCCTGGAGTGTACCTTCATATCAGCCAGGAGTTTAAGAGAAACAGGGGATTTAGGAGTGAAAACTGATTGAAATTGTTCATTTAGTACTGTTGCCTTGTATTGATCTGATGTATACAGTTTATTGTGTTTTTTCAGTGAGTCAATGCCAAAAGAATCTTGTTTTGAGTGTTTTAATAGTGAATATAGCTTTTTGGTGTTTGGTCTGGTTTGAGTTTGTTCATGTTCTTGAGAGATGTTGTTGTTAATGTTTAGTTTATCTTCTAAGTAATTTTGATAGGCTAACTTAGTTTCTTTTCTGCAGAGATGTTTAATGCGGAGATATTTTTCTCTTGATTTATTTGAGTTGTGGCCCTTGTGTAACGTGCACGGGCTAGCTGTTATATATATAATTTTTCTTGTGGCTACTTTGCCAGTTGATTAGTTACAAATGATTATGCAATAATTTGTTTAAACTTTGGAATCAAGTTTAATTAACTTATGTTATAACAGTAACGTGCTTGAAAGGTAATAAGTGGACCTTGAACTTGATATAAAATTGGGGTGACACTTTTAAGGCTATTTCATATATATAGAAAAACCACTTGGATATCGAGTTTTCAATACTTTAGTAATAACAATTACACCTAACGCAATGTTAAATTGATGCAATTGAAATACTTCGTAAATAGTGCAAGAACCCAAGTAATTAGACTAAAATATTAATTAATTATTTCTGTGGTGTTGACACTTCGGCAGCTGGATAGAGACTGACTGTCCGCAGCTTTGAGCTCTATTTGTACCCAATAATATAATATCGTTTACTGAAGTTGAAGAAATCAAGCATCCAAGGGATATTGGTAATGGTTCGAATATTGGTACGAATGGAATTGAGTTCGAATGATTTTAAGTACGAATTGTTCTGATATTTTAGAAATAATAAAAATATGCCCGTTATATCAAATTATTGCTACGAATAAGTTGTTAAATCTATTCATTTAGTTTTTATGTATTATTTACTTATTTATAAAAGATCAAACTATACATTTAAACACAGGATAACATATTTGTTTACAATTTAATTCACCGACAATTTAGGTACAAAACCACTAAATATCATTACAGAATCAAGGTAGAAGAGAACAATCGTCACATTACCCCCGTCTCTCAAAATTCATGCGTCCCGCATGATACGTATCATTTGAACTATATTATAATTGTTATTCAGAACAATAACCAAGAACACATGTTTCTTAACTTATTTATCATTATTGAATTTGAATAACTTTGTCATCTTTGAAAATCAGATTCTAACCCATGTTTTATTTTCATATGCCTCTTCAGGTACGGTAATTTAAGGAAAACCTTATTACATCTCATGCAGGTTCTTCTTATTTCTTCTCTCTTTCTACATTCAGTTATATGTCCCTCGAAGGTTACAGTCTCCGGAATGCTCGTCTTACATACAGGGCACAGTGGTCGCATAATCCGGTTTCCATTTTTCACACTGCCTTCTTTTATTTCGCTTGTCTTTGTCCCCGCCATTGAAGTACTTAAAATAGAACTTTCATAATGCTTAGCCCTATCTCGATTTTTACGTTGTTTTCTTTTTGTTTCAACTTGAAAATTATATTTCTGCTTTACTTCTGATTCTGTCTCTCTACATTTGACCATCGTTTTAGATGCAGAAGATTTATAGCCTTGATCAGACAGATCAATGCCAAAACACCCTATTTTACCGGTACAATATAAATTAACAATATGTCCTTTCAATTTCATTGTATTACCAATAACATCAATACATACACCATGCTGTTGCATGAAGTCAAGACCTAAAACAACATCATTTTCGATTTCAGCCACTACAACCTTGGTCTTATAAAGGTGTCTTTTAAACCTCAGGTCTATCTCTGTTTGTCCCTTGACTTTTAATAGATCACCACTTGTTGATGATACAGAAAGTTCAAAAGGTGTAATTTTGTTCTTGCTCTTAAGTTTAAGCCAAAGATTTTCTGAGATAACAGTAACGGTAGCTCCAGTATCTACTAAGCAATTGACTGACACATTACCAACCTTTGCATAAGCATATAAACCAGCAATTAAATGTCCTGACGAATTGATATTTTGTTTGTCATTTACGCTCCTTGTTGTTTTGTGAGTTGCGTGAGTACTTATGAATTGTAAATTATGTCCATGTTCTTCATTACAATTTCGCACTGTATCATATTCTCTTTTGTTATCACTATCAGACCGCTTATAAACAGAGTTATTAATGTACGATTTTCTTTGTCTTTTTTATTGTAATAACAATGTTGAAAGTAATTTTGTGGAAAATGTTTTAAACGCCTTTGATCATAACTATTTGGTGTCTTAACATATTTGTTATCTTGCCGTTCATATCTTCCTTGACGCTGCATTCTATCAACACTTTGTTTTAAAGAAGATACAACAGTTTTAAGTTCTTCAAACTCTTTTGACAAGTTATCTGTCTGCGAACTTCTTATCATTCCCTGCTGCTTCTTTTCAGCCCTGTAGAAAGCTTCAAGTTCTACAGCATGTCTTACTGCATCATTCAAATCAATGGGCCTGGCTTGTTTTATCTTGAGACGCATGTCTGAATTTACAAGTGCATCAATGAATTGTTCTTTAGCTAAAGTGTCACGAACATCTATAGGAGCATGAGGGTACGCCAAGTTTGCAAGTCGACGAACATCTTGTCCAAGTTCAGACATTGATTCAGTAGCTTTTTGATGTCTATCTCTCAACTGAACTCTATATAACTCAGTCTGATTTCTTGGTGAAAATCTATCTTCAAGTGCTCTCACAAGTTCCTCATAATTGTGTGTCTTTGTTGTCAAATTTCCGAACACTCCTAGAGCTTGGCCTCGTAAAGATACAGATAAGTATAAACCTTTCTCATTTTCATTCCAACCATTCAAAGTTGCACAAGCGTCAAAATGTGCTTTATAGTTTGTCCATTCACAAGTTCCGTCATAAGTAGCAGGTTTCATGAAAGTAGACCTGGCATCTTTTACTTTGAAATCAAAACTTTTGTCTGAAGTTTGATAGTTATCCAATTTATGTTGTTCTTTTTGAGTTTCAGGGGGTAGCAAGTCAACAATCCTCCTTCTTTGGGTGATCATTCTGTCTTTCACATCCCTCTCATAATTTTCACTTTGGACAGGCAATGAAGGCAAAAGACGTCTAGGCTTTGAGGTAGTCTTCCTACTTGGTGTAAAACCTTCATAAGTATTCTCTGTTTTTACCATAGCAGGTGTTGATGTAGCCAGCTCAATACTTGTCTGGTCAATTTGTCTTTGAAGACTATCAATCTCTCTCTGGAATTTCAGCCTACGATTCTCATTCCTAAGATTTTCCATTTCATCGTACATATAACAAAAGTCTTCATCGGACCATTTACTTCTATACTCAGCCATGTTCTTAAAAGTCTAGGGTAAGTAAGCCTATCTAAAGCTAGAAGTGTCCCCCGTTTTTTTAAAGTCTAGGGTAAGTTAGCCTATCTAAACTAATAGTGTCCCCCGTTGGGCGCCAATTTTGTAACGTGCACGGGCTAGCTGTTATATATATAATTTTTCTTGTGGCTACTTTGCCAGTTGATTAGTTACAAATGATTATGCAATAATTTGTTTAAACTTTGGAATCAAGTTTAATTAACTTATGTTATAACAGTAACGTGCTTGAAAGGTAATAAGTGGACCTTGAACTTGATATAAAATTGGGGTGACACTTTTTAGGCTACTTTATATATATAGAAAAACCACTTGGATATCGAGTTTTCAATACTTTAGTAATAACAATTACACCTAACGCAATGTTAAATTGATGCAATTGAAATACTTCGTAAATAGTGCAAGAACCCAAGTAATTAAACTAAAATATTAATTAATTATTTCTGTAGTGTTGACACTTCGGCAGCTGGACAGAGACTGACTGTCCGCAGCTTTGAGCTCTATTTATACCCAATAATATAGTTATATTTAATGATCGTTTACTGAAGTTGAAGAAATCAAGCATCCAAGGGATATTGATAATGGTTCGAATATTGGTACGAATGGAATTGAGTTCGAATGATTTTAAGTACGAATTGTTCTGATATTTTAGAAATAATAAAAATATGCCCGTTATATCAAATTATTGCTACGAATAAGTTGTTAAATCTATTCATTTAGTTTTTATGTATTATTTACTTATTTATAAAAGATCAAACTATACATTTAAACACAGGATAACATATTTGTTTACAATTTAATTCACCGACAATTTAGGTACAAAACCACTAAATATCATTACAGAATCAAGGTAGAAGAGAACAATCGTCACACTTGTACTGCTTGTAGGCTTTGTGTTTGTAGCAATTTGGCGTATACAATATGTAATGGTTTCACAGCCACATTGAACTGGTTGGCCGAGAGTATAGGCAGTTCCAGTGCCGTGAAAAAAATGTTCTTTGAACCATGAGAATTTGTATGACTTGGCTGTGATTAACTTATACATGTACATGTAGCTCAGCATGTGCGCATATTTGGAGGCTCTCTCAAATGGCGTTATTATTAGTTATTTTATACATCATAGAGAGGGCCTTGAGTGAAAAGGACGAAGGTTATGTCAGCGCCATTTAAGTGGGTAACAGTGGATGTGCGTTAGATTTAACCAAATGCATGTAGATCTTAAATTTGGACAGATTTTATCAGATCAAGTTTGGTTTGACAATGGGACTAGACTTCTGATGCATATTCTAGTTATGAAAAAAAATTTTATATGCCAAATAGGCCACAACGTGTCCTGAGTTTACTTTTATATTACGGCAAAGGAAATAAGGGTTTGGTATTTGCCTGTTTGGTTGACCTGTCATGTTCTTGTCCTTAGAGAGATTATTTGATATACATGTATCTACCTCCTAGGTATTGTGTGGATGTAACAGCCTCATAAAGTAAATGTAGTTCCTTGGAGAGAATAAACAGTTAGTATTGGATGTTATTATCCTTGTGACATGAATTACTTAACATTTGGATAGGTTAAACTACAGTCCCAATCCAACCCACATGTTTCTTTTAAAGGTCTTTTTGAAAGGTTTGTAATTGTTGAGATTAGGTTTATAGAAATATCATTAGCAAATAGGCGAACATTACTTCCTTGTGGAGGCCATTGATATATGCACGAAAGAGAAGTCCCAGCACCAACATCAGGGATAAAAGAACCAACATCAGGGATAAAAGAACTGAATTTTAGCTCCCCAACCACACCCCATTCGAGGAATATACCTCAGGTTCACCACTTTGCATTATTTCAGACAAAATCTTTCACTTGAGCAGAACGTTCAACGTTAGGTAAGCTAGCTGGACATTTGTATAAAATAATATGAAAATCTATCCATAATGTAGAAGATTATCCATCCATGCATGAAATAGACTAAATCTTGACATTTAACCTTCTCTGGTGACCTTGAATTTATTGACCTTGACCTTGCATTTATTGACCTGTATTGTGCTGGTAAGACTGTCTCATTTTTATGCCCCTACTTAAAAAGTGGGAACATCCTGTGTTGGAGGAGGAATAAGTTGTTGTTAATGTACGCAGTTATTGCTTTGTTATAGTTTTAATATAAAGGTCACTGTGACCTTGACCCCTATAAGCTTGTCTAACCAGTAACTAAGCAGGGATTAGGACTACAGTCCGAATGATTAGTTCGGAAGTGTGTCTGAACCCTTTTGATTTTGAGGTAAGTAGGTAAAAATCCACCGAAGCTGTCCATAATAATCACTCAACGCTTGTTTGACAATGACTAGAGACTGCAGTCTGCAATTTTCATATCATTCTAAGATTTTGTGTTGAGGTTGGTCATGACAAGCAGAAAACCTGTTGTTTTTCGGGTCAGTAGGTCAAGGCTACCATGATGTTGACCATTTATACTTGTTCGACCAATAACTAAGGAATGATTTGGCCTGCAGTCCCGAGATTTGGAGTCCCATAGACTACTTAAGCACCCAACGACTTTTCAAAGCATCCAGTGATTTGTCATAGCAACCACTAACTTTCCACAGCAACCAGTGATTTTCTCTAGCAACTAGTGACTTTCTATAGCAACCAACCATTGATTTTCCATAGCAACCAGTGACTTTCCATAGCAACTAGTGTCTTTCCATAGCAACCAACCATTCATTTCCATAGCAACTAGTGATTTTTACATAGCAACCAACCATTAGATTTCCTGCTTAAACCAGTGACTTTTCATAGCAACTAGTGACTTTCCATAGCAACAAACCATTCTTTTTCCATAGCAACCAGTGACTTTCCATAGCAATCATATACTTCTTAAGCACCCATTGACTTTCCATAGCATCCAGTGACTTTCCATAGCAACCATTGATTTTCATAGCAACCAATAACCTATTTCACAACAAGTGACTTCCCAACCAACTTTCATAGCAACCATAGACTTCTTTAACACCCATTGACTTTCAAAAGCATCCTGTGACTTGTCATAGCAACCATTACCTTTCCACAGCAACTTTTTCTTTTTCTATAGCAACTGGTGACGCAATCTTGCAACCATCGACTTTTCATAGTAACCACTGACTTTCATAGCAAACTAGTGACTTCTATAGCAATCATTGACTTTCCATAGCAACCAAGACTCCCATAGCAACAGTTTGCTTTCCTTAACAACCATTGACTTCTATAGCAACCAGAGACTTCATAGCAGCCATTGATATTTTCATAGCACACTGTAAATTTCCAAAGCAATCAGGGACTGATAGCAAACATTGACTTTTTACAAAGGAAACAATGACTTAAATAGCAAACATTAACATACTATAGCAACGAGTGAATCTACCATTGAATTTCATAGCAGACACTGACTTGAAGAGTATTATATTCAGGTGAGCGAATTTAGGACCATATGGCCTTCTTGCTTAGGTTTTATGTCACACAGTACAGGTTGTCTGGAATGTACTACAGTATAACCTGCCTTTTGTGGTCAGCAAGGGAACCATCATAACAATATCAATAAATGTAAACAAATTTCCCAGATTGCTAAAACTAAGTGCCAGTTTGATCAGGTAGTCTATGCTTAATGAAGATCCATCAGCCCTTTCAGGCACCCGTCAAGTGCCAGTCATGAATTATAAACACATTTTTTATCATTGGCATGAATCTGTATTTATAAGCTGTTTGATTCTGTTGGCTAGGTGTGGTAAAATTTACATGTACTTTAGTATAGTTATTATATATTTTTTCTCCTTTTCTCTTTTTTGGTCAGATATTTGGTGGCCGCTGAATGCAATAAAACAGGTTCATGTTATAAAAGGTGTCTATATATAAGATTCTTTCTGTCAGACCTAGATCTGACCACTATAGACAGGGTCACTTTATATAAAGGTTGAAAGCCAATGTTCTTCTGACTGTCGTTATAAAAAAAATGATATATTATGCAGTAATACAACACTTGATTTATAAAATATGCAAAAGTATGTACGTATGCCAGCAAATAAGGGTTGGGGAGCAGTGTCCCATGGAAAATTTTCTAGTTTAAAAAGTCTGTTAATTCAAAACTTCCAAATCTTCTGTGCACACATATTCATATATTTTTTATCTGACATTTGACCTCAGTCTATGTGTGACCTTGAAGTTAAATTAAGGGTATTGGATACAAGGAGCAAAAATGGACGAGAGTTCTGAAGTTTTTAAACCAAATTTATTATAGCACTTGTGTCTTTGCAAACATATTTTCATTCCAAGACTAAAAATCACAATAAGTATTATTTCACATAAGTTATAATTGACTTCTATTTGAAAACATTGATATCAGATAATATATGTTTATGTAGGAAACCTGCTTACAGTGGATTAAGTCTACAATAGGCACAATTTCCATAAGTATATTTCAAATAAAGACAATAGAAATATATCATTTGGATTCTCTTATTGAAAAAGAAAATTGTTGATATTGTTGCAAGTGATTTTAGAATTTTGTTTCCAGAACAATTTATCATCTGCTATACACAGGTGTTCGCACATGGCCATGACATAAACTATACCCCTGGTCCCCCTCTACAACCCAAAACCCTTAAACATCGTCCAAAACATCATGAGTATTGACAAAAATCAATTATATGAAGAAAAAGAATTTATGACTCTAAAACAATTCTTTTTTCTTCATTTAATTGATTTTTGTCAATATTTATGTTGTTTGGACGATGTTTTAGGGTTGTAGTAGGGAAACAGGTGTATAGTGTAAGTCATGGCCACACGCCAAACACCTGTACTGCTACTCTACTGTATATTACACTTACCAATATCATATAATTATTCTTTAGTGGTTTCTCTAAACATTATCAACATAATTATAATAGTATTAACAGATCTTTCATTATAGATCAATGTAAATTCAGTATAAGGACTAACTGTCACTGTCAGTTTCATAAAGCATGTTAAAAATAATACATCTGTATGTATCTAATCCAACCCTTATTGGAATTATAAATAAGTCATTTACGAATCATATAAAAACAAACAAAACAACAATTGAAAACATGTTTGCCAAAGCCAACATGATTATTATTCTACATTACAATAGTAATTTAAGGTTCCACATTGGCACAAACATCTTGTACATGTATGTTGACTGAAAGATAAGAGAAAGAAAACAAAACATATGATATTTTCATCATAAACATGCTAATATTCAAACACCAAGGCAACGTTCCTGGTACAATAGTGTCAAAAGATAATGAAGTGTTCTTTTAATTAATTGAAACAAAAGTAGGCATCTCAACTAATTCAGCCATATATGCAATCAAAAAATATTTCAAAAGCTCATTTAGTATATCACATCATATTAAAGCAGCATGCCTCCAGATTCCAGCTAATTTTCATGAAAACTTTGAAAAGTCTAATATTATGAGCAAAAATAATAATTTACACACTGCAAACAACAACTTACAAGCTATGTTAATTACCAAAAACAAATGCAAAATGGTAAAAAATACTGCAAGGAACTTCTTAAAGCATCACATTGTAATTTATATAGTCTTATACATATAAAACTTTCAAATTTTATTTGAATTTTCTGTGTCCCCTCACCTGCTAGGAGCTTTTGTCATCAGACTCACTACCTAGAATGGAAAAAAATAATTACTGTTTTATAAACAACTAATACCTATGTTACTACACTGTATATACAACAACAAAAGGGCGTCCATGGCGAGTGGTTAAGGTCATTGACTTCAAACCACTTGCCCCTCACCGCTGTGGGTTCAAATCCAGACAGGGACTTTGGATTCTTTCTAGTGAGGAAGCTATCCAGCTAAGCATCAGGAACGTCCGGTGGTTCTACTCAGATGCAAGTTTGTGCCTGCAAATAATGCACGGAAGGGCACCTGAGGTCTTCCTCCACCAGTAAAGCTGGAACGTCGCGATATGAGCTATACTGTGTCGATGTGACGTGAAACCCAAACAAACAAAACAACAACAAAATTTAGGGTATTTTAAGGCCATTATGGCAAGATCTAGGTCATTATGCCATTTTGGCCGCATTGCTACTCGGCTTTTTTCTCTCCATAATTTGAGAGAGCAGGGAGCCTGTGGCCGCCGCCTCAGTCCTTGTTGGACATGTTTAGCCCATTTTTGCATATGTTCAGCAAGGACCAAGAAATAAATTCTAAATAAATCTCTTGTCAAGCTGTTTGTTCTACTACTTAAATAACAAATAATGTAATTATCTATTTAGCTAGTTGGAATGATGCTTTTTAAAATGTTAAAGCCTTATGACCAATGACTTTGAACTAGAATTCTGACATAGCCATATTTTCTCTTACATGATTGTCGTAAGAAGTAATTCAAAGTGGAATGATTTTTTATATATTATATTTTTTGTTTGGTTTTACATCGCACCAACAGAGAAGAGGTCAAAGAGTGACTTGCCAGCTTTTTATACTGGTGGAGGAAGACCTAAGGTGGCCCTCTTGTGTATTAATTCAGGCGCACAAACAGGCACCAGAGTATTTTTTCCACTGATGTTTCGTAAGCAAAGCTGGAATAATAGTATCTGTCAGATGTTGCAGTTCTGATTGGAAAATCTGTCCCTCAAAACCCGCCCATATTGGAATATCTGCCCCGAGGGATTGGCGGGTTCCCTAGGGACGGATATATTTCAATCCGAAACAAAACATTTGTCAGATATTTTTTTTGCATATTCTACCATAATCCATTATATTTTAAAACTCTTTTCCATATTATACCCATAACTTTTTTTCTTACAAACAGCATATGAAAATAACAAATTCATCCAAAACAGTAAAATTACGTAATCCTTAGCGTGCCATTGTACAGCACGCGCGACTCGTCTGGCATACATGCCAAATGAAATTTCTGGCATGGGTAAAACTTACAGAAACGCAAGTCTGATAATTTAAGAAATGATTACAAAACTGTGAAACTTACAAGGTAAATAAGTAAGCTTTACACTGAGATCACTGTCAGGATTGTTGCTTTGGCATTCAGTGGTTATTTTTATTTGCAAAGTTCCTTTAACAATATTATGAATCTGAAGAATTTTACTACGCTGTAGAATTTCTAAAAAGAGCTAGAGGAATATTTTATTTTTCAACACTGCATCTTTAACAATAACTAAACTGCTCAGCAAGTATATCCGGAAGAAATATTTCGTATAAACTTTGAAATACAATCTTTTCTTTTTTAAAATATTAAAGTAATATGGCCATCAATCGTCTTTTATATCCAATGCAGTGTTAATGCTCATCTGTTAAAATAAACATTAACTCCAAAAATATTGCTTTCAGGAGTTATGGCCTTTGGTCCTAACAAATGCACTATGTCAAGAATAAGCAAGTATTCATGTTGATAGATTTTTAAAATGTTTTGAATACGGGGCTACATGGAGTTTTTTGCACGTAGACAATGACAAAGGCGGTGACGACTGTCGAAGCAGTGAACTGAATTATAGCGCGACATTATCTTTCAAACAGGCAAGCTAAAAATGAATATAATTATATAGAAAAACATACTGTTTTTAAATTCAAGAATTTTAACTTCTTCAGCTTTTTCATACTGGGGGCTCTGGTTGTGGAGGGAAGAACAGCTCCATTTGGGTAGCAAAGGTGACGTAGCTGCCAATAAGCCAAATGTTGTGGAAGGCTGTGTTTTTGCTTAAAATTCCTCCTGAAAAACAAAAAGGAAAATTCATATTGATAGAAGTATCTTACTATTTCTTCTGAATAGAGACAGTCATAAATGAAAGCATTGTGAAAGATATGCGATACAGGGCTTTCATTAAGTTCCAAAATTTGGAAGTCAGAGACTGCAAAATGTCTAACACTGAAAGTCACATTATATAGATAAACAAGAGGGCCATGATGGCCCTGAGGTCGCTCACCTGTATATAGGCCCCCCCCCCCACAACGTTGCAGGGCCAATTTTAACCCAAGGGCTTTTATTTGCACAAACTTGGTAGACACCCATAAGAAGATGTTTCATGCTAAACATCTAAGCTCTAGCTCATTGGGCTTTTTAAAAGAAGATTTTTTTAAAGTTTTTACTATACACATATAGTTAAAAACAATGACACCCCTGGGGCGGAGCCAATTTTGACCCCAGGGCTTTTATTTGAACAAACTTGGTAGACACCTATTAGAACATGTTTCATGCTCAATATCTTAGCCATAGCTCTTTGAGTTCTTTAAAAGAAGATTTTTTAAGTTTTTACTATATGCATATAGGGAAAATCAATGACGCCCCTGGGGCGGGGCCAATTTTGACCCCAGGGCTTTTAATTGAACAAACTTGGTAGAGCACCCATTAGAAAACATGTTTCATGCTAAATATCTTAGCTCTAGCTCTTTTGGTTCTTTAAAAAGAAGATTTTTAAGTTTTTTTTACTATATGCATATAGGGAAAATCAATGAACCCCCTGGGGCGGGGCCAATTTTTGACCCCAGGGCTTTTATTTGAACACATCTTGGTAGACATCGTATTAGAACATGTTTGATGCTCAATATCTTAGCCATAGCTCTTTGAGTTCTTTAAAAGAAGATTTTTTTTAAGTTTTTACTATATGCATATAGGGAAAATCAATGACTCCCTGGGGGCGGGCCAAAATTTTGACCCCAGGGCTTTTATTTGAAACAAACTTGGTAGACACGCATTAGAACATGTTTCATGCTAAAGTATCTTAGCTCTAGCTCTTTGGGTTCTTTAAAAGAAGATTTTTTAAGATTTTACTATATGCATATAGGGAAAATCAATGACCCCCTGGGGGGGGGGGGGGCAATTTTGACCCCAGGGCTTTTATTTGAACAAACTTGGTAGACACTCACTAGAAGATGTTTCATGCCAAATATTTAAGCTCTAGCTCTTATGGTTTTTTAAAAGAAGATATTTAAAGTTTTTTCTTTCGGTTGCCATGGCAACCAGAGTTCTGCATGGAATTAAATTCTTTGAACAATTTTTAAAGATGACCACCAAAGGAACATTCCTGTGAAGTTTGGATGAAATTGGCTTAGTGGTTTATGAGGAGATGTCATTGTCTTAATAAACCACATAACCTGAGGTAATTTCTATAAAAAGCTTATGGACTTTATCATTAATGCGCAATTGATAAAACGATTGGGCAGTCTTATAGTTTAGTGTAGTTTTATTAATTTTACATGTGTATTTTTTACCTAACTGTTGTCATTATCAATTATAAGTTAATGAAAATTTTGATCACCATTACAGTGAGTAGTCAATCATCTAAGGACGTTTTCGGGAGTTTTCATATAGACATATAGGCAAAATTAAAACTGTTCTATAGAATTTCTTTAAACTTGGCATGTTGTTAGAATATGATACCATATTGATGATTCACAAAGTTTCGTTGAATTCCAGCAAGTAGTTGCAAAGAACTAAAGCGGAAACTAAATTCGGACGGACGGAAGGACAACCCCAAAACAATATCCCCCTCCCGATTCCATCGGCGGGGGATAATTTATACCTAGTATCTTCATAAGAAAAGTTAAATAAGGAATGGCGATTTCACTACAATTTCGTAAGTGCAATACCTCCTTGTTATATAAAATATTATATTTCAAACCATACCTCTCATTGCAAGAATATTTCCTGCTAATCCAGACAACCCAATCACTGTCAATTTTGTTAACAGCCCTTCATCACTCCTGATCTGGTTTAAGGAAGCTAAAAAAGCAAAAACATCTTAAAATATTTTATAACTCTAAATTGTAAGGTGTTTTAACACATACCCGTGCCAATTTTGTGACTCCGTAAAATTGGTATTGCACCACTGTGCATATATTTTGATGTGAAGTCATTTGCCTGATACAAACATAGTGTAAAGACGCGCTAAATGTTAGCGTTATACTACAGGCGTGTCAATGAAAAACTTTTCTTTTGAACTTTAAACAGTCTTTATTTTGGGTATGTGATAAATAGAATATTATATTTGTACAGTTTCAATACTGAATTTATTGAACTTGCTGGGTAAAATAGTATTTTGCTCATCAGAGGCTCGCATAATATAATTCAACTTGTTCAATAAATTCAGTATTGAACCTACACTCATTCAATATCCTCTATGTATATAAAAATCTTTATCTAAAAAACAAATACATCTAAAAATACTTTATAACTCTGAATTATAAGGTATTGTATACTAAAATTATCTAGGTTATAAGATTGTCATATAAGAAAATAATTTCTCAGTATGGTCATATTAGATCATAGAGCTGTCAGTGATAGAGATGATATTGATGCATTGTTGATATTTTTCTGTTAATCAATTATCGATACACATTTGAAAAAGTCAATAATTTTGATTAATTATTTTAATGTCTTTGAATTATGAAAATTCACCCAAAACATATACAAAAGCAGGTGGCCATATCTAATACTAAGCTGTTGTTACATAATGGACACATTAGATAACAGTGATGACAAAAAATGGTTAGGAAAAAATCCTGCAAAGGACATTTATAAACAGGACACAACATATTTGTATGAACAGAACATGTATTTTACTAAAATCATTTAAACAGGTATGAAAGTGAATTATATACAAGAAATTAGAAGTATACATCAATATATCAGTGTATCGCCGATATTTGTCATCCAATAACAATGTATCGTCAATATGCTTTGCTATGAATCAATGACAGCTCTATGAGAGCACACTATAATGTTTATTCAAATAAATGTACACATACATTTGTAACTACATAGTTAATTATATTAATACAAATATATCTGAAAAATTTCTACCTAATGTTGATTTAATTAAGAAAAGATTTATCAGAGTAGGACAGAATACTACATGTAGTTATTAAATGACCACAGTATGCTAGTAATTAAATCCCATTATCTTGTATCATGTAATTGTACTACAGTCAAAACAAGTTGTAGTAAATTTATCGGTAGAATATATGAGCCGCGTCATGACAAAACCAACGTAATGCGTTTGCGACCAGCATGGATCCAGACCAGCCTGGATGCGCAGTCTGATCAGGATCCATGCTGTTCGCTTGCAAACCCTATAACAAGTAGAGAAACAGATAGCGAACAGCATGAATTCTGATCAGACTGCGCAGATGTGCAGGCTGGTCTGGATCTATGCTGCTCGCAAACACATTATGTTGGTTTTGTCGTGACACGGCTCATATTATATAATTTATATGTCAAAGGAATCTTACATTTCGTATGAGCCTCTCCTGTTTCAATTATGTGTTTGGTTTTATCTACTGTCCCCTATAATAAAAACAATAAAGATTTTATGAATGAATGTTAAAATGAATTCATGACCTTAAAATCACCAAACAAGAGGGCTATGATGGGCCTAAATTGCTCATCTGATATACATTGTTGGAAAAAGTAATAATTTTTTTCAATGCAGGAATAGGTCACATTTACATAGAACAATGTTTTTTACAAGATTGGACCTTTCAGTTAAATTAAAAATATATCCTGATGAATGTCTTGAAAGACCGAAACCGGTAGATCCTAGAATAAACCAGTTACAAACCATCCTGATGTTTGATGTGTATTCTCTCCTTCTCTTGATTTACTTGTTAAATTAAGAATATATCCAGTTAATAATAAATGAAAATCTTAATTATTGTTAATGATCAATGTTGATAATTGGTCAATTATGAAATCTGTGGCTGTACAGTTAAGGTTGTTGACTTCAAACCACTTCCCTTTCACTGCTGCAGGTTCAAGCAGTGCAAGCATTGTAGGAATCTACATATGAGAAAGCTTTCCAGCTAGCTTAAGGAACGTCGGTGGTTCTACTCAGGTGCCTGTTTGTTTCTGAAATAATGTACAGAAAGGCACCTGAAGTCTTCCTCCACCAGTAAAAGCTGGATAGTCGCCATATGACCTATACTGTTTTGGTGTGATGTAAAATCCAATAAAAAAAACCACAACAACAAAAAACTTCTTATAAGGCCATCCTTAAAAAAATGTTTGTTTGCAGGAACCGACCCAGAATTTTTAAGGTGGGGTAGGTAGGTCGATTTTTTTTTTTTTTTTTTTTTTTTGAACTGTACTCCCAAATAAAAATGGAATTTCAAAATGCTGGACGATATATGCTTGATAAACTGGTAAAAATTGATAACTGAATTCTAATTTAATAAGAACTACATTTTATTTCTTCTATTAACCTTTAAAAGAACGAAAACAAAGCACAAGGCATAATTTTCTGATTCAAAAAAAAATTTTTTTTTATCCAGACCATGAAAAAAAAAATTTGAGTAGGGGCAAATTTTGTGAGTCGGTCGCGTTACTGCAAACAAACATTTTTTTAAGGATGGCCTAATATAATAACTCTTAACTGAGATAACTCTTTTTAAGCCCTAATATGAAATTAGGCAAGGCCTATGAAAGCGGAAGTCGGTAAAAAAGTCCTTTAATTTTTCCGTTTTAAAGGTGTCATTCGGTATTATATGTACCCGCTTTAATTTTCACTTGGAACACTCGAGGATTATTATTAATCCGAAAAGTTGAGATATGTTCCGTTATCCGAATACCCCGCCTATTATCACTGAGTTACACTGAAAATGGCGGCGCCCCTCTAGTAGTGACACTGAAAATTCATTGATAGGTATTGAATTCTATATATTTTTAATTGTTTTTCATTTGACTTTCTTTTAAATATACATGTGCAGTCTATAGCCGAGCAAGCCAAAGCCCGGGTCCATGAAGCGGACACGGCCTTTGACTTCCCCATATGATGAGACAGGGAGAAATTTTGATATGAGAATTTTTGAACTGGCATACATGTACACAAATCTCACAGTGATATAATAAGCACAGTCTTTTTTTAAAAATCTTTTTTTCATACTTTACCTGAAATGGACTCAGTACATCTGCTACGGTCTTTCTAACCTCCGATATGCATTCACGAAACTTTCCTATTTCCTCGGGTAAAAGTTTTATCTTCACCTCTGGATTTCCATACACAGGCAACTTAAAATGTTTAATAACAAATTTATAGGCAAATCAACAAATAAAACTGTTTCATCCTGTTCATTATGATTTTTATTAACCTTTGGTAGCCTGGCTGCAGCAGATTCTACCCACACAACCAGTGCTGTCTGATCATGGACTGCACTGTACACTATTCAGCTTATAATTCAAAACTTTCTTTAAAATCCAGGCAACCAGAATCAATTGGGGGAAAAAAACGTTGTTTTTAATGGTTTTTTTTTAAATAAAAGTAACAGTGAAAAAACATCATATTTTGTCTGGTAATATTAAGGATCCCAGAAGTGTATACTTATATTAATATAAAACAATGGAATAAGTTTTCATTTATTCTTTCAAAATAATGTTGAACTAAATTTTTGAACAACATCTTTAAAACCAAACAAAGTCAACCTTACCTCTGAAATTTTAACAAGTCGTTTTTGCTCACCATCTTCATCCTGAAAGAAACAAGATCAGTTGTTTGAAATTAAAATAGAAATAATAGAATACAATTTTTACAGTACTGTTTTCAGTCTTTGATTGTGTCCAAGTAACACAGGGATTTTTTTGGCTGATTTTATCGGTTTTATAGCTGATATTCTGTCATATTCCCAACTGAAAATAGTATATTATTTTCCCAATCCACAGGAAAAAATTCCCAATAGAAAAGTTACAAAATAAAAATATTGAATAACAAATTCAAAAATCTTTGAAAATAAGGGCTTTTTCACTGTTATGGTGTTTAAATGTTTGCAGATGCCATCCTAGACAGTTATTCTTAATCTTTGTATTCATATAAACTCTAACTGTATTATCGGCGCAACTCTAATACGGGCATACTCTCAGTATTTTGTCATGTGCGGTCATGCATAGGTTGAAGTTTAAAAAACTTTTGGCCCAACCCTTTTGTATATTGTGTAATTTTGTTGATGTAAATGAATTGATTTATATCTATTAATGCAATAAAACATTATTAAACTAAAAAATTTAATGATTAATTGAATTTGTACTGCTTTACACAAAATATTGATTATTAAATTCATCAATGAAATTCAATGCAGACATATAGGAAAAGTTAAGTACGCCAATTATACGGAGTCCCATGCTTATGGCTGCAAAATTTAAGTCAAGCAATTTTTCTCAATTTTTTAAAAATCGCTGCAATTCCAAAATCATGGGTATGGCCTATGGTAGTTCTGGCTTCCATAACGTTATAATTTTTGAGTCGGATTATTGTTGACGTTGTGCGACAGTAAAGTTATGGGTCAACCCTATTTGCAAAGGCAGAGTACCAGAATTTTGGCAGTTCATGTGCCATACATAAAACCTATTAAAATCACCCTCATTAATCAAATTTGGGTCAAATAAAAATATAAAAATACCATTTGATAAACAAATCAATTTTGAATCAATTCATGTTTTGTTTTTAAATGAAACTTCAATGACATTGTGTACCCAGCTATTGGTTAGGGAAATATGTAGAGAATCAATGTTTACCAATATGGAGTCTGCTTTCAAATGAAATCTCGCGGGACTTCAAGTTTTGGGAATTCTAGCATCTATTGTTAATAACGGACCATACACTACTTTTAGTAAGTGTACGATTTTAAATAAAAACAAACAAATTATTCATGAATCATCACTCAAAACAATATAAATCCAACATGTTTTTGGTACAATGTCTGTTATTGAATAAATACACCATTATTTATAATTGCAAAACTTTCCATACGGGATTGGCTTCAGCGAACAGGTCTAGCAGTACTATAAAACCTGTTCGCTGAAGTCTCTTTAGCTAGGCCTATCATTGGGTCATGTTCCCAGAATCCTACTACTAGGATTCCTGGAACAGAAATTAGATCTACTGTAATTAATTCACATTTGTAGTTTCAAAATTTAACTCCAAATATGTCTCATTTGCTTCATAATATTTGACACAAAAAAATTAACAGTATTGCAAGGTCTGTATAGAAACTTTTAAACCTGTAAAGGTCTCTGTCCGAACCGAGGTACTATCCGGCTGCATTCAACTTTGTGATAATCGGATACTAACGAATAAAAAAATTAACTGTACAAGCTATCAATTTAAAATTAGCAATGATTAAAATTTAAAAGCTTTTAATTAATGTGTTAGAGAGAACACTTGTTTCAAAGTCGTTCTTTTTAATAAGTTTACATATTTTTCTGACCTTGCCTGCCATTTTGCCGAGTTAATTTCTGTACTGTTCCGTTAGTTTACCGGATACATGTGTATAAAATCCAGTGCCTCTCCCCCTTTTCTGGAAAACAATGTCTCCTTCATTATATCTTAACCAATTTCAATAATTTTGGTATAAAATGAGAGATATCTTCTACGGGTTTTAAGGGATTCTTTAAAAAGATGAATATAGTAGAAGTATCAAAATATTTGCTTCATTATTTCCTTTCAAAAACCACACTGAAATTCGGTAAGAAAATCACTAACCCCCTATACTAACTTAAAAAAAAGTTACTTCATTTATAAGCCTTTAGAGATGTTTTAAAACAACAGCTGTCCGAGGAGAAGCACACTCCACTTTTCCGAAAAAGCAAAGTGTAAAAGGGGCATTTTGTAATTTTGTAAAAATGCTCATCAGATTATGTAATGTAAATCCGTGGCTGAATGTTACATTTTGTTTCTTACCAAAAATTAATGGGAAAACATATTCCATTAGGATGATAGTGTAGATTATTCAAAGGATCATTATTTTTGAAAAAATTAGGGCTCTTCTAACATCCAAGATTAAATTTAGTGATGTGGCCATAACTCGATTTCCGTACGATAAAGTTTGTTTAAATGTTGCATACAAGTGTCCTTTAAGATATGGGTAAAGTGATCGTAAGTCGGACACGATCCAAAGTCGGACATTTTTAGCTGTTCATTAAATGTTGTTAAAACGTTTCTAACATGCCAATAAGTGCAGTCAAACCAACCTTAACATTTAAACCGTGCATAGTTGTCTTTCTTGTCAGCGTGGCTTACTTCCTGTCTTTCTGAATATTGTTACTATAAATAGCTCTATCGGCGCGAAATTTGAAAATCTGGATTCCAGAAAAGTAAGACTGGTCTTCCTATTTCAGTGGTTTAAAGTATTAAAAATTAAAGAATGCATATGTAAATATATATCAACTATACAAGTATACATGTTTACTTTGTGTTCTAAACTTGTTTAATTATTTTGCCTCGTATTTCTTTTACCTTTCCCCACCCGGCGTAGGAACCAAATTAGATGTTAAGTCGGACAATCAAAATTGAAAATTCGATGTTAAGTCGGACACTGTTCAAAGTAGGTTCTATTGACATAATTACCCATTGTTCTATACATGGCTGTATCTACAAGGTCTAGTTTTATTCTTTATAACAACAAAGAGCGTATAGGCCTATCTAGTAAAAGAAAGATATTTTTAAGCTTCCTATATTTTTTGCGATACAATAAATTCATCATTGTATTTATTGAAGCTTAATATCAAATGACATTACATCTAGATCTATAGTTAGATAATTGATTGAAAAAAAAATGTGTTTTCAAATAATGTTAGATATCTTTATGCCAAACATATGTTCACCTCATTACTTAGCTGCTTTTTTCTTTGTTTTACAATTTAAATGGTTTCTTAGTTTCAAAGTGTTACCAACTTTAACTTTGTTATTGCTTGGTTGTAACTGGTATACGTATGTATACGTAAGCAGATACGTTTTTAGCATGCACCCTGGAGCCAAACTTGTATTAGATTAGTCTCAATATTTCGACGGCAAGACAGACCGATTTTATAATCTGATATTTCATAGATGTCTGTCGCGAAGGGCGACTATCGTATATATAAAAAAAAGCCCTAAAGCGCACAATTTGTTGGGCTAGTATTAGATCTACCTGAAACATAAAGGTCCTAGTCGCCATGTCGGCTTGTGTTACCTGCGTCGTGTAGACGCACAGAAACTTAAAATGATACACTTATGTTCAAAGCTTCGCTCTTATAAAAAGTCCAATCTACGTTATATAACAGCAATTAATAATAAAAAAAAACATAATTACAGAATCTCAGAATCAGGGTTAACATGTGTAAGGCAGACACACTTCATTAACCTGGGAACATATATAAATGAGCCGTGTCACGACAAAACCAACATAGTGCGTTTGCGACCAGCATGAATCCAGACCAGACTACGCATTCGCCGCGCAGTCTGATCAGGATCCACGCTGTTCTCTACTTGTAATAGGGTTGGTAAGCCAACAGCATGGATCACATTCACATTTTGCCGTAACATATATATTATCATGATTGAACACCTTTCTCTGTTTAAATGACATGTTGCTTTTTTGCTATTTTTGTTGTTGTTTTATTTTTTGTTTGATTTTGCTCTGAAAGCAGTGACAACAGCCTAATTTGATTTCAATTTAGCATATAAATGTGTTACTGTTGCGTAACAATATTCATGCTGTCACAGGTATCTTTCAGAAAATATATTCTATTAGACAAACGAAAATGTTCTAGCTGAACCATCCATACACATAAAATAAAACAGCAAATTTCGACCCTCTCCTCCGATTCCGAATGTGATATTTTCTCCAACCAAAAAGCATATTGTTGTTTAGATGTTGTGAGAAAAACAGGAAATTGTGTACGTTTCTAGCCTTTGGGTGGGAGAGTGGGGTTTACGTACGTCTTACCAACGAAGAATTACTAAAGTCATATTGCGTTGTCCAGCTTTACCAGCTTTACTGATAGAGGAAGACGTCAGGTGCCCCTCTGTACGTTATTTCAGGCACAAAAGAGCAACTAAGTAGAACAAGCGACATTCCGTAAGCTAGCTTGATAGCTTTCTCACATGTAGAAACCTACGGTGCCTGCGTGACTGGAACCAACAAAAATAAATACATAATTGAAATCATTTAAAATGCTTACTGTACAAAAACATTGAATGAGTTCATGTATGTAGCGGCGTATACGCCTATTTTTACGTTTATGCGTCGGCTGCATGTTTTGTCAGATTTGCATGTTGTGTCTATTACCCTGAAGACACTTTTTTCAAAATAAAATATCACGGTAACGTCAATATTTAAGTGTTTCATTTAATTTGCAAACTAAATGTTTTATTTACACTGTACTTACGTACTTTAATCAAACTAAAATACAAATTAGTCTGTAAGCATTAAATACGCCCCGTTTCTGATATAGTCAGTCTGATCATTGGGAGCGATGAGAAATGAACTTACTCAGAATCATCAGTCACACACATTATGCTATAAACTTTGGTTAAAAATATAATAATTATATTATTTATAATGTTTATAATATTTCTGGAACATCCATATATTTCATTCGATTATTTTGATGAATACCGATTAGAACGGGACCGTAATTTTTACCGCCCAAGTCAAAAAAATCTGTGTCCGACTCAACATCAAATCCGTCCGAGTCAACATCAAATGCTGGTACCTGGCTTTACACCCGATTTTTGTTCTTTTCTTACACTGGTTCCGAGTAATTATGATTGTTTTTCGCATTTTAAAGTATTCCCCCGTGTGTAAGTGCTTTGGAAATTCCGACATGTTTCTAAAAATAGATTCTACAAACGGAAGAAGCAATGATGTGTCCGACTTACGATCACTTTACCTATCTGACGTATAGATGTTGTTAATTTTATTTTTCAGTTTCTTATAGTGCACGTTCGGAATTAGGTATAATATCTTAGGATCTGAATTCAATGTTAGTTTGATCTAATTTCCCGAACAAGCAACATCTTGCATCTGATTGGAAAATAAAGATGAAAATCCTGGATATATTTTGCACAGAGAACCTGAAAAGAAAAAGAGAAATAATAATGTCAAACATAACAAGTGTTCATACTTAATTGTACTGTTTCTGTACTTAAAGTTTCTTCTATTTGGCCTTTTCAACTTGGGTGGTTCCAGTATTCCTACTTGGATACTGTATAATCACCCTTAGGATATGTTGCCTGCTTTTTAAATTTGTCTTTTGACGTCATATCTGTGATATGCAGGCTTCATAACCTCAGATCCCCTTTCAAAATTCCATTTTATTTAGTTCCGCCCATTGTTTTCTCGTTTAGGACACAAGCATTCTTTTACTTGGGAACCATACGCCGCTTTTCATGGAATGGCACTAGTGTGTCACATTGAAGGTTCCATTATAACCGCCGTATAAACACATCTGCGGATGCTTCTAAATTCATAATTTCTCCATTTTCGCTTTAAATGTTGAATTCTGCTTAAGCCGGTGCTAGGGGGAGTGGACGGTAACTTGCACTTTCCATTACCGTCCATGAACAGGCTCAATCAAACCGACCTGCAACATTTTCAATTTTGTCGTGTTGGGCTTTCTTTAGGGATTCTGTATTTTTCTGTTTCAGTTTTGATTATCGATAACACAGCAGAAGCGGATATATTTTTTTGATGTAAACAGTACATTGTTTTGTCATACAAAACAGTACAGTTTTTTGGGTCATACATTTTACATAAATATATACATATATATTTGTCAAATGATTAAATAAAGTTCAAGCAAGAAATACATTTTTCCAAACCAATAAATAAATAAATAAATAAACAAATAAATAAATAAATAAATAAATAAATAAATAAATAAATTAATTAATTAATTAATTGATAAAAAAAATATCATGAAATAAATAAATAAATATCATGGAGGATGAATCAACAACATGCATTTTTTCCTTTTGCATGCTTATAAAACAAATTTGATTTTTCACATTTGCAATATACAGTAAAGATTTTCTTAACATAAATGCGTTGTATAACGTTATAACACTGGTGTCTAAACACCAACAGCTTGACAGCAAAAAAGTTTGTGTTGATTGTATGGTTAGTGATAGACTAGTAAATTTATTGGTAGAGTGCAACAAATGGCACGACTATGGATGCTTGCCATCTAATGTAGTTTATGTTTCCAGTTAACCCTTTGAATGTGAAAAAAAATCACACACGCATACATAAAAATACAAAACTCTTGCACAGAATATATAGCACAGAAACATGTTAACATGTTTGGATAATTCTACCCACATCAGTTAAAATTTGTAAATAAGTTTAATTCTGTAAATAGATAAATCTATGGAAAACATCAATGTCTGCTTTATATTAACATATATTACAATGTATTAGTCTATTGTAATACAATGAATAATTGCAGGCCATATCCGTTTTGTATTCGTTACATACAGGTAGGCAAGCTTTAGTCTCCTTCTTTCAAGACTTCAAAATTCAATTAATTTGGTTGTGCTTGA